TCAATCCTAAAGGAAATCAGTCCCGAATATTCATTGGAAGGACTAATGCTAAAGCTGAAGCTCCAATACTTTGGCCACCTGATGTGAAGAACTGACTCATTGGAAAAGACCCTGATGCTGGGAAAGATTGAAGGCAGGAGGAAAAGGGGGTGACAGAGGATAAGATGGTTGGATGGCATCACTGACTCTGTGGACATGAGTTTGAGCAAGCTCCAGGAGCTGGTGATGGACAGGGAAGCCTGGCGTGCTGCAGCCCATGGGGTCACAAAGAGTCAGACATGACTGAGCAACTGAACTGAACTTGAAACTGCACATTGTTATACATTCAAATAAAATGCTATTTTAATCTAAAATGCTTCTGGATTTCTGGAAAATCTATGAATTGGTATGATGTAGGCACTATATATACCTGGGAAAACTCTCTTCCTCATGAGTTTGTAAATACTGAAAATTGATTTTGTGGTCCTGAGAACTGCTCCCTTTCCCAACCATCCTCCATATTCAATATACCAGAAAACTCTGTCATTCAAATAGACAAAAACAAAACAAAAACAAAATCAACTGAATGAAGAAAGAAAAACAATGAAACATTTGGCCTCAATGAAGACTTCAATTAAACTTTAAGATGCATAGGCTATATTCAGGGGTTCCCTGGTGGTTCATTGGTAAAGAATTCACCTGCCAATGCAGGAGATGCCGCTTGGATCCCTGGGGAAGGAAATGGCAACTCACTCCAGTCGTTCTGCCTAGGAAATCCTTAAAGGGCTACATACCATGGGGTCACAAAAGAGTCATGACTTAGTGACTAAACAACAATTAACAACAACAAGGCTACATTCTCCAGAAAACAACTGTATAAGGATTCCATCACTTCCTTAATAAAATAACTTAAACATTAAAAACAGTGCCTGGGGCTAAGATGAACTCAGAAGTGAAAGTATAAATTATATAGAAAATAAATGGCTAAAAAGAGAAACTTTCATATATAATGCAAACAGAGACACAGAGAATAGACTGGTGGTTGCCAAGGGGAGGGAGGTGGAAAAGGATATGAATAGGAGTTTGGGATTGTCAGATGCAAACTAGTATATATAGACTAAATAAACAACAAGGTCATACTGTATAGCATAGGGAACTATATTCAATATCCTGTGATAAGTCATAACGGAAAAGAATATGAAAAAGAATGTTTATATATATTACATATATATATATAACAAAGTTACTTTGCTGTATAGTAGTAATTAACAAAATATTGTAATTCAACTATATGTCAACACAAATAAAATAAAAATAAAATGCAAGCTAACATGGTGATTGGGACAGGCAGGTGCTGACTGTTGAATGGAGGGTATGTAGAGATAAAAAGGAAGCTTTGACACATATGCTAAAATTCTCATTTGCTTTTGAGGGGTTCCAGTCTCAAAACTTTGATGAAAACCAAGGCAACATTGTAAAGCAATTACACTCCAATTAAAAAAAAAACAATCTTTGATGAAGTTGACAGAAGCCTTGGCCATAAAGGGCAAAAGCTCCTTGGCACAGTCTAGAGTTTCAAAGAGCTGACACATTCTAAAAGACCCTGATGCTGGGAAAGATCTAAGGCAGGAGGAGAAGAGGGCGACAGAGGGTGAGATGGTTGGATGGCATCACTGACTCAATGGACATGAGTTTGAGCGAGCTGTGGGAGATGATGAAAGGACAGGGAAGCCTGGAGTGCTGCAGTCCATGGGGTTGCAAAGAGTTAGGCACAACTGAGTGGCTGAACAATAATAAACAGGACTTTCAAATGTCCATTTATGATTTAGAAATGCAGATAAGAGACCAAAAGGAAGATGAGAGCAACCTACTTTGGAAGCATGACATTCAGGGTTCCCACAGGCAAGATTTCCATTGACTTGCCCCAGAACTTGTTTTTCCATCTGATATCTAAATGACATAAGGCAGAGGACAAAAAGAATTACACTCTGTATCTAATCATTTACTCTAGAAAAGTGAACTTTTATAATATACTTTACATTTTACAAAGAACTTTTGTAATCACAATCAATTCTATACTGTTGTTCTATCACAACAAGTGCCTGAGGATGGTCCAAGGTGAGAAGATTAACTGGGAACCCCCAAAAATATCTATCTGTTTTTCCATAATGTATTCTCTATATGTGTTTTCAACAAATAACACTGGGAAAGACTTGGAATAATCTATGTGTGCATATTCATATACACATATACATAGACTCTACTCTGCTTTAATGTCTCCACAAATGCTGTTAGAGGATTTAGCTAAATGGTGGAAACATTTTATACATGTGTGTGTATATATATGGTATATGGGAAAAGTAATTGTAGATTGTAGTATGGCAGTAACACTGATTTATATACACATTTATTTGAAAAGTTACATGACTTGGGAAAACCAGTATAAAAAAAAATAAAGCCTCTAACTATAGATGGGTAAGATTTATGAGAAAGTGAGATTAACTTAATAAACATGTTCCTATGCTGGTTGTTAAGATACTACTCAGGGCCCAGAATTTTATCTCACATGATGGATTTTTGTTTTACTTGTGGACACTCAGGTATATCTTTGCTTGTGTATTATTGCCTGGTCTTGTTTTTAATGAGATAAGGAAGCTTAGTGCTCTCTCCACAAAATTTCTGACTCTTTGTTATGAACAAGAAATGACTTACTTTCTTAATCTGCACTAAAGTATAGTCATGGTGCTGCTCTATCATTTCATATCATTTTTAGGTTGAGGAAGTGCATGTGAGAAGAGTCATACTGTGATCAGTGAAGTGCCCTTTCAAATGTGAGGGAATTATTCACATTTAATGGTAAATGTACACATACATGATGGCTGAGATGGTAAAGAACTCGCCTCCAATGCAGGAGACCTTGGTTCCATCCTGGGTCGGGAAGATCGCCTGGAGAAGGGAATGGCTACCCACTCCAGTATTTCTGCCTGGGAAATCCCATGGACACAGGAGTCTGGCAGGCTATAATCCACGGGGTCACGAAGAGTTGGACACAACTGAATGACTAACACTTTCACTTACATATATATATATACTTTTCTTTCTAGAAGGGTTTTGAAACTTTTTATCCTAGGTGAGTCTGCAACATTCTAACTTAACAATGGATATTAATTTAATAGAGACTTCAATTCAAACCCCCAAGCCTCAGTGAGTTAAAAAACAGAAATTACTGCTATGCATGTGTCTCTCAATAGACTGTGAGCACAGAGGTACAGCAGAGCTTTCTTTCAGGGTTAAGATCTATTTGTACACCTTTAAGAAAAGCGAGAAGACAGCAGATACAAACTTCATGCTATTGATGCAGACAATGAGGCACAATGAGGTAAAGAGATTGCCCTGAGCTGGCAATGTCAGCATACAGCTCTGCTATCTCATCGGGCTTTGCTTCCTAGATAAATAATCCCATCTCCCAGGTGACATAGTTTCATATTTAAATCAAGAAACCTAATTTCTTAAACTGAACTCCATGCCAATTACCAACATTTTCTGAGTTCTAAAAGAAGAAGTCTAAACTGAGCACTTTGGAAACAAGAAACTTTCTTATAGGCTTATCAATTGGATTTTGAAGTTATAATTGAAATACAAACCTTGCCAAAACACAAAATTCTTGGATTCACAGTGACAGGCAGAAATGGGTGGATGATGGCTAACCTGAAAGTTAAAAACAAAAAAAAGGCAATGACATCAGTGTTAAAACTTCCACAAATGACCATTTTTCACAACATGTATTTGGCTACCCCCAAATAAAAGCTGGGCTTTCCTGGTGGCTCAGAGGATTAAGCATCTGCCTGCAATGTGGGAGACCTGGGTTCGATCCCTAGTTTGGGAAGATCCCCTGGAGAAGGAAATGGCAACCCACTTCAGTATTCTTGCCTGGAGAATCCCATGGACAGAGGAACCTGGCGGTCTGCAGTCCATGGGGTCGCAAAGAGCTGGACATGACTGAGTGACTTCACTTTCTTATCTTTCTTTAAATAAAAGCTACTCAACTCATCCATCTCTGTTACTGCATTATTCTCAAAATGTGTAAGTAAATTGCCAAATCTTACAACTTCATGCTTAAAAACATTTAGAGGATGTAATTATATAGATAAGCTAAGTGAATTTTCTGTTAACTAGTATTATGACCCATCTCAACCAGATGTTTACAAAAAAAAGCTATTTTCATCATCAAACAGCCCTCCTACAGTTTCTACACAGAAACCTGAGTCCAGTGGCACTTACTTGTTCTGAGAAAAATCGGAATCCTTTGTCCTCTCTAATGCATTCATAAGTCTCCCCAAGGACAGGGTTGAATGGCTTACTTCCTGCTCTGAAATAGGTGGAGCAATATCCTGAAACTGCAAATGCAGCAATAAGAACCTGTTAAAACATTTAAGAAAGGAAAATAATATAGGAGAGACTACTTCCAGGTCTGTTTGTCCCTTATTCCTCTAGATTTTATATAACCACATCAATGGGTGCTGATTTGATGATATCTGCATTTTCTATTACTTGCACAAACTCTTCATATACTCACGGGGAAAAAAAAAAATGAAAATGCAGTTAAACTCTGCATGGGAACCAGCAGGCAACTGAGGCCAAATAGTCTTCATTCATCTGTCTATCCAATTTCTTGAGTATCACAGAATTCAAAGGTTCTGAAAGCCAGGTTATGCCATTTACACAATCTTAGCAGGAAAGTTTGTGGCTGCTGGTGCTTTTCAGAGGGCAGGTCAAGTTTTCCAGAGTCACGTGGAGTAAAGGCCGGGGCAGAGAACAAACAGGAAGTTTCCTTCTCAGACCCAAGTTCCTAAACAAATGGGCTTCCCTGGCATTCAGAAAAAGCTGATAAAGCAAGGCCAGGCACCTATAAGAAGTGTGATGCCTTTACATTCTAACTTCAGAACTACTCGGACCCAAGAGTAAGTCACAAAGAGTGTATCTTTCAATAGAGGTATCTAGAGCTTTTTTGGCTCTGCCTGGTTTACGCAAACGGATTTCTCTTACCTATGCAGTTAGAGTATTAGGCAATAAGCAGATACACTACCCTAATGAATCTTCCCTAGCCCAGGTCTAGGGTTGGCAGCTCCAGAGGGCGCTGCTCTGCTATTTATTACCATGCGCTCGTAGGGACTGTCAGTCTCCGAAGCCTTGTCCAGGAGCTCACTGTATTCCATCTCCTCGCAGAGATGCTGCAGAGTGTTAAGTGGTTCATTTAGCTCCACAGGCATGGAGACTTTAGACAGGTCTTTACCGATGTTGTTCCTCAATATATTCCACAGGTTAATGTTACTGGTGTCGGGACAGGGAGCTGGCAGGCATGTTCGACGTCCGTTGCGGAAGGCTCCTCCCGTGAGCTCCCCGTTCAAGACTGGAAGGAGAAAGAGGAGAATCACAGTGAAAGATATTTTGCTTTCCTGATTTCCCAAAACCTGAGAGGGAAAGAACCCTTTCAAATAATTCTGACTGTGATACATTTCTTAAGCCTCCCTTACACTCTCCCAAGAGTGAACAGAATTATGTCAATACAAGGTTGCCGATAAATGCACAAAACATCAATGTATATAGTTCTTTCTGGTGTTGCTTCACAACTCGTGGGATCTTAGTTCCCCAGCCAGGGATTGAACCCATGCCCCTTGCCTTGAGAGCTCAAAATCTTAACCACTGGACTGCCAAGGAAGTCCTAAACAAGTCAAAATTTTAAAAACTAAATATAAATATATGTAATTACAAAGGACTCAAAATTTTGGTTTGGGCAAGAACTAAACTTTTTATCTTAATCCTCTCCCTAACAAATTTTTCAACCATTTACCTCACCAGATTATACAAATATAAAATTTGTTGAACAATAAGCTGCAAAAGGAACAATTAGCAAGGGGGCCAAAATGATTGTTCATTGAATCATCAGCGTTGTATCTGGCATGTAGACAGGACCACCTCAAGACTCAAAGGGTGCATACTTTGCCGAGAGATGTTGTCTGCAACACTGGTATTGTCTTCAGATATATTATCGCTCACATCACTGATGTAAGACTCATCATCTGAAGCCTAAGGAAGAGAAGAACATGGAAAGGATCAGAAGTTTCATTCAGTCTTGACATTTCAGAAAAATTAAACAATTAAAAACAACAGGATATTGCTCATGGAAAGCAGAGGTCATAGTGGGAAATATATGTGGCACATGGGCAATGAACCCCTTAGAGTGTCCCATGAGCCAGAATATAGGACTGCCAGGAAGCAGCCTTTATCTTTAAGTAGCTTTCTATCTTAAGTTGGGCTGAGAAGTTGGGAGAGGCCAGTACATAACGAGAAATGTTTCAATCCAACATGGTAAGAATGTGCAAAAAAGGAGACTCTACAAATCCCCATAGAGGAGTCAGGAAAGGTTGCTGGAGGAAATAATATTTTAACTGGGTGTTGGAGGATGCAGAGTTGCCTGGTGGTTAGAAGTGGGGGAGAAGTACAAGAAGAAGGGATGGTGTACAAATCAAGGACCATGAGAAAAACATTCCTTCTCGGAATGTTAAGAAGTCAAGTGGCTATAACAGAAGATGGGGCAAAGATGAAGAGGTCTGACTGTGAAGGGCTTTGCATGTCAAAATAAGGTCTCTCATATAATTGTGCATGCGTGCAAGCTAAGTCACTTCAGTTGTGTCTGACTCTATGTGACCCAAAGACTGCAGCCCACCAGGCTCCTCTGTCTATGGGATTTCTCCAGGCAAGAATACTGGAGTGGGTTACCATTTCCTTCTCCAGGGGATCTTCCCAACCAAGGGACTGAACCAGCATCTCTTATGTCTCCTGCATTGGCAGACAGGTTCTTTACCACTAGCGCCATCTGGGAAGCCCTCACATATAATCATATGAATTATTAAATGCAAGGAAATGATAGAGTCATATTTGGTTCTCAGGAAGACACTCTGCAACTTGTCCTAGGGAGCGCAGATAACAGGATCCTATGTAGATCTGGATAAGAAACACTGACTGATTTCACTAAGATGCCCACAGTAAGGTTCATTTCAGGCAGTACAGCTGCATTTGGGAACCACATTTAAAGTGTAACAGACAAAATCTGGCAGATAATTTGGGGGCAGGGAAGAAAGATTTAGGGAAACAGAGAAATCAAGAATTAAGTCATTCTCTCCATGAGAAAAATATGGAACTAAAATGAAACCAAGATTCACATAAGAATAAAATTAAGGGCAACATATGTACTAAGGGGATTTAGAGAAAGAGCAGATAAGAAAACAGAGAATTACTGTAGAGCCATTCAGAGGAATGGGAAAACCGATGTTTTTACTATAGGCAAGAAAGCTGTTGACACCTACTCACTGTCTTCAAAATGGAAATATGTTATATCTTTTCTGAACACAAAAACAGAACACTCTTGTTGTAAAAAATCAGAAATTACATGAAGGTACACAGATGATATGAAAATCACCCATACTGTGACCTAAAAGAAATCACTTTCAACATTTCGTAGGTTTTACCCCCAATTTCAAAATGCCTATATGAACACACAGATACATCTATCTTTAGATACTGAAAAAGCAGATGGGTTTACATGCCATTTTATAGTATTCTGAATATACTCCCATTCTAATGAAAACAGCTCTCCATCTTTACTTAATGGCAGATAGTTACGTAACACAAAGAATTTAACCAACATTCACATGGCATCCAATTTTTTATTATTTATAGATAATACTTGGATGAACAATCTTGGAAACAAATTTCTGTGAATCTGCTTGGCAATTTCATTAAGATTTATTCCCAGAAGTGAAATTGCTGGGGCAAATGAGTCACTCTTAGGCTTCAGCCCTACGTCACCAAATTGCTCTCCTGGAAGACTGTACTATATTAGTTTATCCTTACCATCAGCATACGAGGGCACCCATCTCTCACCCACTTAAACACTACACATGATCAATCTACATTGGTATCTATCTACCTAACACACATAAAAGATCTCTTTTTACAGTCTAAACTTCATCTTTAGTGAAACTCTCTTTCACACATTTTTCAGCTCTTCATATAAACTGCATTTTTTTTCTAGTTTGCAATTTCTTTTTAAATGTTGCTTATGCCATTTTATGGTCAGGTAAAGGTTCTAAAATTTGTATATAATAAAAACAATCAGTCTTTGCCTTTACAGTTTCTGAATTTACTGCTGATATTTTTAATAGAGTTGGGAAGAGTTGATACACTTAAGGAGATAGAATTATAGGCAGAATGATTTTATGCATAAATTAATAACTGTAGTTTTGCTTTTGTACTCTGAGAAAGGCTATAAAGATGGCAAATTGAGAATAAAGTCTTTTTCTAACTTGTATTTTCCCACTGCAGCAGGCTTCCACTTTCCCATGACTGCAACAAAATGGAAGGTTAAACCTTCAGGCCCATGAAAGTCACACTCTGAACCTTAATAGAAATAAAAAGTAAATCAAACTCTTCCATGTGATTACTATGAAAAAAGCTAATCACATCCAGTGATGTTAGAGGAAATAAATGCCTGCCCCAACCTAATTCATACTGCATGCATGTTTACTAGATGAACATTTAGAAGCTATAAACAGTCTATCCTCTTCAATTTCTAATTTCACTCAAACTAACACATGATAGAAATGGCCCAATATCCATGTCCACATAGAAAGATCTGTGTAGAATATAAAATAATTCTACAATTACAGTGGGTCTTGAATAAGATCTATATTATCGCATGTGTGAGCAGTAGCTAAGGCTGGGCAGGCTGGCTGTGGTCCACTCATGTTATACTGTATATAAGGATATAGTACTCTGCAGTATTATAATAAAATGATTAATATATATTTATTTTCTCTCCCATGGTCAAGAAGTCTTGGAGCCAAATATTTTTCTTTAAGGGGTTTGGGATTCAAAAGAATTTAGGAAATTTTTTTTCTAAATGTGACCATTTAGAAAAATGCAACCATTCAGCATTGCAGAAACACATTTAACAGTAGAGACAAAGAAGGAGATCATTCTGAAAATAAGAAAGAGCATTTTTTAAAAAAGAGGTTGTACATTCATTAAGTGAAACACATAAAGAATTTTCTCTCAGTCCAAGAAAATGTTAATATAAGACAGCTAAGGCCCAGGTTTCTCAGATTAATCATGTGTAAGGTGCTAAGCATTCCTTCCTTCATTCAGTTAGCAAATACTTTCTGAGTTCTGGGCTCACAAGAATGTTCTAGTGCTGCAGAGAGAGTGCTGAAATCTCTTCCCTCACTCCAGTGGGAGAGACATACAATAAACATGAAATACATATTCTGTTGCTGCTAAGCCACTTCAGTGGTGTCCGACTCTGTGCGACCCCATAGACGGCAGCCCACCAGGATCCCCCATCCCTGGGATTCTCCAGGCAAGAACACTGGAGTAGGTTGCCATTTCCTTCTCCAATGCATGAAAGTGAAAAGTGAAACTGAAGTCGCTCAATCGTGTCTGACTCTTAGCGACCCCATCACCAGACTCCTCCATCCATGGGGTTTTCCAGGCAAGAGTACTGGAGTGGGGTGCCATTGCCTTCTCCAATATATTCTGTTAGATAGTGATAAACACTATGGAAAAAAATCAGAAGGGACCAGGCAAGTGAAAAGTCAGGGGCAAGGAGGAAATGGTAGCTCTACAGTGTAGCCACGGCATCCAGGGCAGGCTTGAAGGTGACTTCTGAGTAGACTGAAGCGAGTGAGCAATCTGACTGCATGGTCCTGGAAGTGTTCCAACCAGGGTGGGTGGCAACACAGAGGCCCAACAGCCCTTACCAGCTGTCATGGAGAATGTGCAGTTGAGCCCATCCTGCAGCTGCTACTAGATTCTCACACATACAGTGAACCAACCAGGTGGGCTGGCCAAGTCTGTGGTATGGAGACTCGAGGAGCCTTCTGGGGGCATCTCATCACAAGGGAACTCAGAAACCTGGACAGATGGAGTTGTCTCAGAAACAAGTCTCAGCCAAAGGGGAAGAGCAACCTTGAGAACACTGAGGTCCCTGTCACTTGGGCTTATCTCCAGCCTCTTCAAATACTTAAGACTGAGTGCTGTGATAAACAGAAGAGATTTGAGTAAAAAACAGTCATTTTATGAAAACCTGTAAGATACAGTTGCAAGGAACAAACACATAGTTCAGTTCTTTCCCATGTGGGTTATAGGAGATTTACTCTTCTTGTATCAGCAAGGGACATGGGGTGTCTGCAGTAAACTGACAACTCCAGGAAGTACTCCGCTGGCCTCTGGATGGCTTCAAAAGAACAGAGGTTCCAAGAGGCTGCAGCTGAGAACAGAGACCAGATTACGAGTCTCTGTATGGTAGCTAAGGAGTTTAGTGGCATCCTAGGAACACTGGGGAATAGAGATACTATCAGATTTGCATTTTGGAAAGGTTAACCAGGCTGCCCAGTGGAAATGGATTCAAGGCAGAAAGCAAGCGGGCAGGAAAACTAGTTATGGACATTGACAGGGTAATATAGGTGGGAGCTGATGGAGGACTGAATGGGAGGAGAGGCAGTGAAGCTTTTCTTAGGAAAATATACGTATCTTAGATAATTTAGGTGGCAGAATACAGAACGGGGTGCAATACAATGTGGGTGGTGGGTGGTAGTTAGGCAGAGGAGTGAAGGGAAATACTGAGGAAATTCGGGTATTTGATGTGAACACTTGGGTAGAAAAGTACTTAGGCAATATGAGAAGTAGAGGTAGGCTTGTGTTTTTTCCCTTGGTGTGTGTGTGTGTGTGTGTGTGTGTGTGTGTGTGCATGCATGCACGTGTTAGGGGGTTATTAATTACTTCATTTGGACACGCTGAAATAGAGATTCTGTGGAGCACCCAGATGGCAGCATCTCACAGGTCGGTGGTTAGGTGGATCCCAAGCCAAAGCCTGCTTTCTCTTCAGACCTGCTTTCTTCCTGAGCTGTAGACTTGAATATCCAAAAGGCTGCCAGATACCTCCGCTGAGAGGTCTGGTAAGTTCACAGTGCCTTAACATATTGAATGGATCATCTCTATGCGCCTCTGTTGGCCAATGGGCTCACTCTTTCCCTGTGGTGGCACCACCACCTAGCTTGGACCCATGCAATAACCCACCTCACATCTTCATTTCTGTCTCACCAGTGGCTGGTGCAAGTGACAAGTGGGCACCCAGGCAGATGTGCCCCCAAGAACTTAGACATAGGGCAATTAGGTTGCTCTCAGGAAGGTATGAGGTCATCAGATGGTGGGTCAAAGCCTAGATAATGTATAGTCAAGTTTGCTTGAATATGGACAAAGAACTGGTCAGCAACAGGATCCCAGAAAAGGGAGAATCAGAGAAGAAATAAATACTGGGAGCACGTCTCCAGCATGGTGGTCCCTAGGGTAGAGACTGACTCACAGACACTAATTCCCCACCACATGGGACAGCATCCTTGTAATGGAGATGAAAGTTTGGAGCAATTACATCCTGGCCCTCACAGCCTTCAACTCACTTTTCCTGCTCCCATTCCTTCCTTGCTCACCAACCTCCTAACCATAATTAGGCTTCCTGGGCAGATTTGCCTACAGGGAAAGAGACATGATCAGCAAACAGGATTATTTTGTCTATTTGATAACATCAATTGTCTATTTATAATTAAACTAGTTTCTGCCTTGTGAATGGGAATATCTGTGAATCTGTTAATCTATGACTTGGAATCTGAGAGGCAGGTGCTTAGTTTGATGAGGTAACAAATTCAGTACCTGATATAACAATTCTGTTTTAATTTTTCTCCATTATCAAAGTGATATGTGTTCATTATTTCTATTTTCTAAAATCACTCATAATTCCAAATGTCCAAAAGGAACTACTACTAATTTTCAGGATGTTTCCTTCCAATCTATTTTCTATGCATATGGAAATAACATCTATCAATGATTTCATCTCCTTTTGAACTTCCTTAGTGGCTCAGATTCAGTAAAGAATCTACCTGCAATGCAGGGGACCCAGGTTCTATTCCTGGGTTGGGAAGACCCCTTGGAGAAAGGAATAGCTATTCACTCCAGTATTCTTGCCTGGAGAATTCCATGAACAGAGGAGCCTGGTGGGCTACGATCCATGAGGTCACAAAGAGTTAGACATGACTGAGCAACTAACACTTAATTACTTCATTCCCTTTTTGTAAAAAATGCATTACAGATCTGCAGTCTTAAATGACAAAATTAAACAACTGTGTAGGAAAGAGCTTTGGCTGCTTCTCTCACACCAAAAAAGAAAAAATTCAAAGTGTACTTGACTAAGATTTCAGTAAAAGAGTTTCTGCAACTTGACCAAGACCTTGCCAAGATTCACGAGCATGACAGGAATCCAATAAATCTTTAGTGGTAGCCAGTGGTGGTGGTGGTTTAGTCGCTCAGTGTGTCTGATTCTGGTGACCCCATGGACTGGAAATCCACCAGGCTCCTCTATCCAGGCAACAATACTGGAGTGAGTCGCCATTTCTTTCTCCAGGGGATCTTTCCAACCCAGTGATTGAACCCAGGTCTCCTGCATTGCAGGCAGATTCTTTACCAACTAAGTCACCAGGGAAGCCTCATGGTAGCCAGTGGTAACCTCCAAAAGCCAAAATTATCCAACTAGATATATACTAGACATTATGCTTCTAAATTCAAATTCAGTCTCTGGCAAAGATGTGTGTTTGTTTGTGTGTTTGTATGTACAAATACGAATGGTATTTTTCTTATGCTCTCATTCTTTTTATATTTATTAGCTAGTCTCCTTCTATAAAGAACTATCACCTATCTGTTTATCCTGAAATATGAACTGTACAGGTAAATCAGAAAAAATCTTGATTCTTTCTTTTTATTCATCAAATTTAAGAGTATTGAGTTGGTGCCCAGAAGGCTAAGGGCTCAGTAAATGGAATCCATATAGTTTGCATGCTTTTGGTTTTGCTACTATTTGGACATCTTATTATGATGTTAAAACCAAGTTCCAAAGTCTTACTTTCTTTTACCCAAACTCATGGTCAGAAGCAGCTGGGGTTGACGCATCTAGGAACCTTACCTCATTCTCTGATGAGCTTGCAGAGAGGAGCACTTCTTGGGCATCGAAGAACTCAGAAACAGATTCTGACATGGAGAGGCGGCTCTCATTGGCTACTTGCTGTGACAAGGGTAGACTGACATGGATTTGCTCACCAGCCTACAGGAGAGAAAAGTAGATGGTGTGATCGCTTTCTTCCCTTGTATGAATGGCTATTTGTTCAAATTAGACAATGAAGTACTAGCCAGATCTCTAGAAAAATTCACAGCATATGTTAAAGGACTGGTGAGCACAAGCAATTTTCACTTGCAACTGAATAATGACCACTGCATAAATTTCCTTCCAATATGCCTGAAGAATCCAAAAGTGCAGACAAAAGGTGAGTGGATTTTCAATCTATGCTCAGTTGACATTTAGTGGATTGAATAACAGATTGAGGCCCCAAAATACCCTGAATTGACTGTGGAGACAAGTTTCTTGCCATATGCTTTGGCCGGTCATTACTAGCCATATTCTAACCAGTATACTACAACTCAAAAAGTATTTGTAAAAAAAAAAAAAAAGTATTTGTAGTAACCACTAGCAATATGCTAAGAAAACATTCTATAAGACTAATTTTTGAGACCAAATATGTTGATATAAAAAGTCACTTTCCAATTGGATCATGAATTTTAGCCAATGAAACATATGATTAGAGTATTGAACCTTATTTCAAACTGTATTTTTATTCATACAATGATAGCAAATGATATTGCTTTCAAGAAAGCAATTTAAGTTGCAACAAGAAAAACAGGCAAGAGAACTATACATTTTAAACATCTAGTACTTCTAATACACATTTTAAATTGAAAAGAAGATTCATACTGAGACTGTTGACTAATTTTTAAATGATAAAATTTTAGAAATATTCTAGATTCTGGGCAGTTGAGGGGGCATAAGTGTCATCAGAGATCACAGGACCCATGGAGGTGAATGGAGACAGGGTTGGTAACTTACATCCAAGAGAAGCTGTCTGGGGATGGTATTTCTTAAGCAGTTAGATAGTAGAACCCTTATACTTAAAGATTTCTAGAAAAATGTATGTTTGGTACAAATATGGCCTTAGCATTAGTTAAAACTCTCACCTTGTTACATGTATTACTGTTCAAAAATATAAATTCTCCTGGCTAAAAATAATAATTTTATGAAAGTGTTAGTAGTTCAGTCGTGTCTGATTCTTTGAGACTCTCGGACTCTAGCCCACCAGGTTCCTCTGTTCCTGGAATTCTCCAAGCAAGAATACGAGTGGGTTGCCATTCCCTTCCCAGGGGATCTTCCTATTCAGGTATTAAACCTGGGTCTCCTTCATTGCAGACGGATTCTTTACTGTCTGAGCCACTAGAACTATACACTCATGTTAAGTCCAAATACTGAATATTCTCCTATCCTCTTACTGTTTTTTTCAAAAATTCTTCTGAAAAATGGAATAATAATAGCACCTACATCAGAGAGTTGTTGGGGGTATCAAATGAGATAACACATGTAAAGTGGGTTAGCAATACCAAGCACATAGTAAGCATTCGCTTGACACATGTTAACCATTAATTATTAGCATCATCACCAGGAGCTGTAGCAGCACTAATAATATTTTCTTAGCAAGGTTAGGTGACGTCTCTTCTTAGATAGAACTTTTAAAACAAACCTTAAGAAAACTTTTATTTAGCACCTTCTCTGCTAAAAGTGCTTGTTTCAACATTTCATGGACCATTAATGATAATGAATATTTCAAATGAGGAGTGACAGAAAAGTCACAAGCTGGAGTACATATAAATTAAATAATCAGTAGCATGAGATGAACACAGGAATAAATAAAAATAGACAAGCGATCACCAACAATAAATGATGTTAAGCTCATGTATATCCTTCACTCCAAAGGACACTGAACTGTCAGCAACACAAGATTTATGCCGGGAATTGCATTAGTAGTGAAAGAAGTTTATAAAAATAAATAAAAATATGCAGTAGGTATAGATGCTACAAAATCAGTATTCTATATCTATTAAAAATGAATCTTACCTCATCAGGGCTAGGAATAATATTTACACTAACAACCTGATCACAAATAATAGATTCTGAATGTATTCTGTTCAACCGGCTCCTTAGTTCAGCATTCTGGTTGAGTGCCTTAAAATAACAAAAACCACACATGTAATTTCAAGTTATTGAGCAAACATAAAGCAGAACCAGCACACAGGTACACTTTAGACAACAAAGTCTATGATGCTTTTAGCTGTAACTTTTGGAGCCACCATAGGCCAGATCCCACTAGTAAGAAGCAAAGAAATGGCTCAGAATTAAGGTATTCATTTTTTGCAATATAAGACTACTGCTTAGTAGAGTAGTGGGTTGAAAAGAGTTTAAGGATTTCATAAAATTGATTCATGGAATTTTCTCTCCTTTACAGTCAGGCCCACTATATCCAAGCCCAGTCTACCACCACATATATATAACATTTTATACCCTAGGATAAAAACTATTGATTCTTTAATTTTTTTTTTCTTTTTGGTTCCAGTTTCTAAAATTTGGGAGTTGTTTCAAAGCCAGATGTCTTATAAATAATTTGTAAATGGAATGAACAATGAACTGGCTTTATGTTTCATAGAGCTATATTTTGACCTGGTGAAAGAAAACAGTTGTTGTGTTTCCATTTTCTAGGAGCACATAATTAGTACCTATGACAGTACAGCAGAACTGATTCAAGTGTAGACCAAAGCTGCCTTCCCTGAACAGTGCAGACATCGACAAGCATAATAAAGACCATATCACAGACAGGAAACTAAGCTCTCTGCATCTCATGATTCTTAACACACCCTAAGTCAGCATCAGTAAAACACCATCTGCTGTATCCCAGTTTAGTGTGTGTGGTGGAAAGGGAACATATTTACATAAACATGGGCTCCCTATAGGGGCCCTGGGGACAGAGGCTCGTGGATCACATCAGTGCATGGAAATCTGTTCCATATACAGAAGACACATGTGGCTGAATAGATTACACCAAGTCTTAAGTAAGAGACCTTTGTGAGGACAGAGCCCAGTGAAAAGCTGGACTGCTCCTTTCCTTCCCATTAAAACCAGCAATGAGAAGATGGAAGTGGATATTTCAGAATGGAAAATAAATGTCAGGACTTACTGAAGAGTGAAGCTGCCCCAGGGAGTGAGGATTCTGCTTTTCTTCATAAGGAGTCAATGAATACACTAAACTGATACACACACAGATACAACAGCCCAACTCTAAATTGGTACCTATTCAATCACCCAGGATAAATGATAAAGTGGCTAAACTTCACACTTGCATTGAGCGGTGCAGAGTCCTTGAGCATGGAGCATAGAATAGTCTCCCTCTTTCCTTTCTGCTCAGCTTTTTTTTTTTTTTTTTTTGGCTATCCTGTCCAGCTTATGGGATTTTAGTTCCCTGACTAAGGATCAAACCTGGCCTTGGGAGTCAGAGTGTGGAGTTCTAACCACTAGACCACCAGGGAATTCCCTCAGTTTTCTCTTTTCAAGGAGAAAATTCTTCACTCACAGCTTTCGGGTTTCATTTAAAGTCTTTAGAACCAGTCTGTAAAATACATGTAAAACAGAATACATTTGGTCTTGTGGGCTGTCAGGTATTGAGGGATTAAAGGTGGACACAGATCCTACAGTCATTACATTGCAGACAGGAGAAAATATGTGTCCAGTTCGCTGAGCAAACAGGAATGTGTTAGTGAGAAAAAAGGTGATTACATTTTTAGTAAATAAATCATGTGCTTCCCAGTACCTTTACTTTCTGCAAAAGTGTTCAGGAACTTTTTCTTGGAGTAAAATCTCAAACAGTTGAAATTTGAAAAAAAAAAATACTGCATCACTCCTATGCTTTGCAACTATATATGCTCATTTGCTCTTTCATTGTTTTTCTGTCTCCACAAGGGTACTGAAAGTCATCTTAGTTACTGATATAATTGGACCCAGATATATTTTGCTATCTTGGAAGTAGGAGGCCTTGTTGTATGTTGTTTGATGGTTTTAATGGCAGAATCACATTCACGACTTCAGGGTTTCACAGAAACCTCAGGTAAGGGTTTCTTCAAAGTGACAACACTTTCTGTTGCCCCGGAAAAAAGTTAACAGAACAACCCCACAAAAACTCACAGGCAAGGACAAGTAATTCCTGCCCCCGCCCCCACCTGCCCCAGCAGGTGGGAGTTTAAAACACAAGTTTTCCATTCATGAGGAAACTTTGTAGAATTGCTTGCTCTGGATATTTAAGAAAGTTAAACTCCCATGTAATCTCTCATCTCATTCAATATTCATTAAATGTGATCCTGCCTACAGGTGTGTCTGAAGGCACAGGAGGTAGCCTCTAGCTGCTAATATCAATAGGACATGAGCTGAAAATTAAAGAAATACTGTGTTAATCATATAATGCAGTGGTAGAAAAATGTTGTTACATAGCACAAAAAAAAAGCCTGGAAATAATAAGTACTATTCCAACTCCGGCGACCCTGAGGGTGGGAAGTGTAAGCAGATGCACAGCATGCAGCAGCCCATCTGGGCGCGCCTCGGGACACAGACCGCAGTGGGAGGTGGCTGCAACCGGGCCCCATGACTCAGGACCACATTTGTGACTTCCCTCGCGGAACACAGGCAGGAACAACACACAGAAAGCAGCCGAGGAGCCTGGACAGTGGTGAGGCGAGGGGAAAGGAGGCAAGCCGCCAGCCACTGGCGCCAGCCCGTGAGCAAGAAAAGTCATGGAAACTTGCGAGGGATAACACTGCTCTAGGAGGGGCAGATGGGGAGAAGGGCTAGTGGCAGGAAGCAGCCTCAGCTTAGGAACCACGCCTGGCTTCTTCAGTGAGTCTCACACTTGCTCTCATGAGCGAGCTCAGGCCGCAGTATAAACTCTCCACAAGGTATGCTCACTTTCCCACACCTCATACACACTCAAGTGCCATATATCCACGAGACACAGCACTCCTGACCAAGCTATGAAGGAAGTTACCATCTTGAAGCTCTGAGTCAGAATGAATTGCCCAAATCCTCACTTACTTGGCTATTAACTACCATTTTTCCCACCCAGGCAGACAATGGGTGAGAATTACCTTAGAGTGGGGGAGAGTCTGGCATAGTAAATGCATTCTACTGAATGGAGTTGCGGGTTATGGGAAGATTTAAACTCTTCAGATAAAAGCAAAACTGGTTCAAAAGGAGTGAGAATGTGAGTATGCCAATTGTCAAAGCTAGAGCTATCAAGAATCAAATCATGGCTGGCTCTTAAAAATCACCTTGTTTTCTATTTTAAAATAAACTAACACTAAGATAGTGTATTTGGAAAATGCTAAAAAGTAGAAAAATATTTCTAAAAAATTCATATCTTACTACTCAATCAACCGACTTTTGGTAGCTTGGTATATTTCTTTCTAGCTTTTTTCTTATGCATTTTTCACATTAAAAAAATGGGAACCAAAAAAAACAGGAACATACTCTATATCCTTCGCTATTTATTCTTGGTACACAAGATATATATTTAATGTTGCAAACTCTTCACAAATGTGATTTTAGTAACTGTGGAATAGGTGGTTATTTTTCTACTATTGGGCACTTATGATGTTGTTAACTGATTTTTATTAGAACAAATAATGCTGCCATGAGTGTTTATGTGCATACATTTTCTACATTCAGCGTTACTCCCTTAGATTATGCATATCAGCCATCAACCAAAGGACCAAAGCATAAAATACTTTGAAGGTTTTAAATAAACATTACCAAATTATGCCCAAAATGACAATGATTTAAAGTTACTGGATAGCTAAAAAAAAAAAATGTAAAGGATTCTATGAAGAATATCTTCATAAACAACAAATTTGGCTAAGTCTCAGGGAACTGTGAAATTTAGGAACAAATATATTTAAAACATTTACTCCGGCACAGAATATTTATTTTGGATGTATAAAATGTTATAGACAGGAAGGATGGTAAATACTATCACTGGGATTTTAATTATGCTGCCATGTGCCTTAAGCCAATTTTTTGCTTACATTCCCATACACACCACATTTCATTGACTCTAAGATGCACAGTTCTCAAAATTAACACTTCTGAAGCACTGGCCAGTTTAACTGAAAGTAGTGTTTTCTTTCTTAGTAGTGCACAGAATGATGGCATATTGAGCAATGAATGCCATACTGATTTAATGAAATATAATAATTGTAGATGGAGTACAAGAATCATTGTACTGTTCACACTTGTATGAACACAACACCCAAAGCATTTAGCACAAGTTGTGCATAAACTCTGGGGTCAGAAATCAAACCAGTAACAGTGACAAAGTGTAATGTACTGAAGACAGACTCATTCATGCTGAATCTTTTAATATAATAATCTAGAGTGCTGAGTTTACCATAGTCTTATTATATATTATTTGATTTTGGTGTTTAATACATAAAATTATAGCTGATGTGAAATAAAGTCATTTATAAAAGGAGAGATGCCACATAAAATACCTTGTCCTACAGATGTAAATCCAACATCTATGCTGCCTTTCAGGTGTAAAAGTTTGCTTTTAAAGCTTCATGGGAGTAAAATATCAGAATTATGCATGTCTCTGTATACGTATAGATCAGGGGTGAAATATGACTATAGAAGAGAAATTCATTACACTGTTCAGCCTTGCAAATCATTACACCATCAAGGCAGGTAAAAATTTATGCTGAGCATGTAGTAAAAAATGCTAATTTTATATATTTTATTATGCTATGTGCCTTCTAAAAGGATGATGGAATTTGCCAAGTTGTTATATTTAAAAGTTTTATTGAAAAGCAGCATTTTAACCATTAGACATATATCAAATAGAACTTACATCAAATAAAAAATAAGTTCCAAAATGTTAGACTAATCTAATAAGTTATTTAAATAGTCTCTCTCCTTCCCTTTCTAGGGGGAGATTTGGCTTGGAAATCATTCATTTAAAAACACCTGGGTTCTAACTGATGACATTTGAAAAAGGATCAATGATGTCTTTAGACTACCTGCAATCACATTGTAATGTGAAATTATATTAATATAAAAACATACTCAGAACAGCTGTCTCAATATACTCAAGCTGTTTCATATCTTGTTTAATCCTAAATCCTATATTTGAAGAGGCACAATGAGGACAACAGAGCTAGCCGACCAGGATGGCTACATCAGTTAACTGTTCCCTCTCTTCAACGTCTCCTTATCTGTTAGTTCTTTCTCTTTATGATACAAACAAACTGAGGCGACTGTGAAATTTCAAGGCTGACTTTCAGTCCATATATCATTTACTGCTAAATCAGATCCTATTAACCTTTTTGTTCTTGAAATTATCAAAACTCTTTCTTCTTGATCTCAGTGGTCATTGCTATCTAAATTCGTCAGTGGTTCCCCCTGGGTTTCCATCGAAGGATTCTCTTTTCTTTTTTCAGCTTGTCTTTAAATACTAATGATCACTACAGCAGCACCACTGACCTCTTTTATTCTGACTGAAAACACAATTTATCAACAGCTATAAATTCACCAAGATACTGGGATATCCACATCTTTCTCTCCAGCTTGGGCTTCTCTCCTGACCCCACCCAATGGGAAGGTACATATAGACACAAGGATGTAAACACAGCCAAAGTGCTGAGATAACACAGAACTGGAAACATGGGATTCTCTAGTGGATAGGGTATAACTCTCTTTATGCTGCTGCTGCTAAGTCACTTCAGTCGTGTCCGACTCTTTGTGACCCCATGGACCGTAGCCCACCAGGCTCCTCTGTCCATGGGATTCTCCAGGCCAGAACACTGGAGCGGGTAGCCATTCCTTTCTCCAGGGAATCTTCCCATCCCAGGGATAGAACCCAGGTCTCCCGCATTGCAGGTAGATTCTTAACCAGCCACCAGGGAAGCCCATTCTCTGCCTTACCAAGAAGCGAATAAAAAGCAAGCAAGCAAGAAACAAGCAAATTTTCTCATTTTTCTTAGTACGAGCTTATTTCATACCACTAAGCCTTTAATCATTAGTACATCTGAATAAAACACTGCAGCATGTAGGGAAACAAAAGTGTATTTGACATGTTTGCAAGATGACATACAAGATGCTTACTAGCCATTATTTTGATCTTTCTGATTTATGATCCTTTTTAGAATCATGATTCAGTAGATCCATTAAGATGGACAAGGTGTTCAACAGATATATGACAGGAGATCAGGCCAGGGCAAACCATTAAAGTGTGCTTGTGAAGGAAGCCCTCTGCAAACTGGCGCCCAGTTATTGCTTTGAATGCGCAGGCTCTTGAGTTTCCAAGCAGCATATGTGCCTCAACTGACAGTGTTTAATGGCAAACAGCAGAAAGTGTGGCCCAGACAACAGCATTCAATAACATGAAACTTAACACTGAAAAGAAGCTGACAGTTCAGGTACATAAAACATGGTGAGACGGTTTAAGTCTAATTTGCAGGAACTGAGGGAAACTGTTCAAGCAGGAGCGGATCCACATGGAAAACCACTTACCCAGGATTTGCTTGCTCCTTCGCTCTGATCCAAGGCACCAGGAAGTGAACAATATTTTATGTAATCACTGAGTTCTCACACAAAAATCAATAACAACATTGAAGTCTTAAAGGAAATTTTAAAGGTGCATTTATAGACGAAGTGAAGAAAAGCACTTTCAGAAGAAGTGCTCAGTTTTAAGAAAGCAGAAGTGTAGTTTTAAAGGATTTTTAACAGAAATTACAACCTTGAAATATATAGGGATTTGATTAGTATTAATAAGATCAATATAATATATATTAAGTAATACATATTGTAGTGTAAAATATATACTGAAATTTTAGAGTCTAGATTCAGGGAACATAGACAGGAAGAAAATCCTAAGAGTGCAAATCAAAAGAGTAAAAAAATAAGTAATAGTAATCAGTAGCTTTCAACAGACTAAAATGCATCATAAGTAGGAAAAATACTAAGTGTGGAAGATCTGGTAGATTTTGTCTGACGTGGGATTGGACATAGTCTGGACAGTTTAGATGTGTAGGTAAATCATGTATAAATGCATTAGTTTTTTAAACCAGGGATGGCCTTATAAGACCACAGAGGGGCATTATAATCAGCCAAAATATAAATTATGTTTGCGCAAGTTCGGTTGATTGTCAGTGTTACCTTGATATCTTTTGGAAGAAAAGTAGTACAATTTAATACTGACACTGTGATGGCTTGGGGTAATTTTAGACAGCTGTGTCATTCCCATGATGGACTGTCTCCACCCCCACAGTTGGCCTGGAGGGTTAGGAACATGTCCTGAGAGTGATACAAACACTCTCATTTACCTGAGACAGTGACTGTCGGAGCCGTGCCATCTGCGTGCTGTGGCCTTTATTGTGATCCTGTTCAGAAACCATCTGCTTAAGCTTCTCCTTCTCTATAGCTATGCTGTTAAACGCAGACTTCAAAAGAGAATGCACTGGGTGGGGAGAAAAGTAAGAGACAAGGATCAAATGGATCCAGAAAAATAAACAGAATTATAAACTTATCAGCACTTGTAACTCATTCATGAATATTTTCTAGAAAGGTTATGTTACAGTCTAATTGAAAGTCAGCCTTAAAATGGAATCTACCAGAATATCTAAATACAAAACAAATATGGGAATGGTAATTAATCAGGATGAAAGTTTTACCATTTCATACCAGATAAGACAATGAAGACCTGGAAGCAGCATATTAAATAACAATTTTTAAATTTCAATACTTAGAAACTAACCTCTAATTCCTAGAAGGAAAAGAGAACAAATTTTACTCTGCCACAGTCAATGATAATACTAGGGCAGTTATGTGTACAATGAAGTATCATGCAAATAATTTAGAACTATCAAATTATCACCCCAAAGTATGCATCCAAAAGAGGGCATTTTATGAGTCTTGCAAATATAAATCAAACAGCTGTTTTAGAAGTTGGAGCTAGTTCTCTTTGTGGTGGGAAATGATTTGGTTTTTTTTTTTTTAATATTTATCAGAGTATCATTGATTTAAAATGTGTTAGTTTCTGCTGCATAGCAAAGTAAATCAGTTATATAAATATACACATATCCACTATTTTTTAGATTCTTTTCCCACATAGGTCAATACCAAGTACTGAGTGGCATCCCTTGCGCTATACAGTATGTCCTTCCTAGTTACCTATTTTATATATAATAACGTGGATATGTTCATCTCAGTCTCCCAGTTTATCCTTTCCCTCTTCCCCCACTGGTAACCATAACTTTGTTTTCTACATCTGTGACTCTGTTTCTGTTTTGTTGAAATGATTTGGTCTTAAGAACAACACTTGCATTACTTTCTCAGCCAAAAACATCATGATATCAAAAGTGCTTTCAATGAATACAAACAACCAGTTATAACATGAATACGTCCTGGGAATCTAATCTGCAGGATGGTTATAGTTAATAGTACCGTATTATTTACCTGAATTTGTTAAGAGAGTAGATCTCAGAATGTTCTTACCACAAAAAAGAAATGGTAATTATGTGACGTGTTGGAGATATTAGCTATCCTATGGTAGTAATTATTTTGCAATATATAAGTATGTCAAATCAACATATATACCTTGAACTTATACAATGTTACATGTTCATTTCATCTCAATAAAGCTGGAAATAAAGTAAAACAAAATAAAGGCAACTAAAAACAACCTCCACCCTCATTTCTGCATACCTAACAACAGACATTTGTAAAAATCCAGGGCAGTCTTTAATTTTGAAACATAAAAATGTTGAATTTCCAACTCATCTTTATAGTAACAGTTTCTGCAAAATGTAAAGTCTTCTAAAATAGGGATTTCCTTGTAAGAGAAAGGTTACTTTTAAAAGAAGTGGACAAATTTAGCAGAAAGTAGTGACCTGAATTAAACGGGGAAAAATAAGGGGATCATAAAGAATGTACAATTCACTGATTTATGTGCTACGTTCCAGTTGTCATCAATTTTAAGGTAATAACTTGATAGCTGAAATACATTAACCCAACTAGCAGCTCTAAAAGTGGATTCTCATTCATTTCAAAATCCATAATTTCTCCTAAAGAGTTCACTCAATAGTCATATAAAAGCCACCTTTTTCCCCAAGCATGGCTGAAAAGAAAATATGCTGTTTCAACAAAGGCTTTACAAGTCTGTTGAAACTTGGATTACCTGAAAGCCTCAGGAGTGCAACCAAATACATAAAGCTTTCCTGGGGCTACCTTCAAATTTATCCATCTTCCCTTAGAAGCTGTGCTATATTTAATTCACACATTTGTTGCCTCATTTTACCTGTTCCTACAATCTTGCATTAAAAGTCAAAGTCACTGGCTTCCTGATCATAAATCTATGCTGTTACATAAATAATTTAGCATTGCTCTAGTCTAATGACACGATTAGCATCCGGCTAAGACATAATAAAAATGTACAAGGAGTAAAACAGGTGAAAGAGAATTGGCCTTACAGAATCTCAATTGAAAAATCTGTACAAAAAAAGGTGGGTGGGGGGAGAAGATTTACTTTTGTTGCTTCAGGATGGTGGAATTAAAGAAACCTCTGGTAGTACATCTTTGCTGATGGTTTGAGAGTATGCATTTTTGTTGACTTCAGCTTTCTCATATCCTCAGGGTGCACCTCTCCTTTTCCCGAGTCACTAGGCTTTTGAATATTATGGGGGGCAGTACTTGAGATGTTCCATTTGACACACATTTTCAAGAATATTTCATAACCTCTTGCCAGTAGCCCCAGAAGAAATATATGCAAAAAATTCATAATAAGGTGTTAGTGACTGAAAACAACATAATGCCTTTCTCCTAAAGATTACAATTTCAAAAAACAATGACTGGGAAGGCACTATTATGAGGTAAAAATGAATGTCAGTGGCTGAAATTTAGATACTTTAGCATTAAGGGGAGGGAATTAATTTAGGAGCTGTGGCTCTTCTTGGTGAACAGTCAGGACTGTCCAATCCTCCTGCTCTCCACTCTCCTGCTTCTCATTTATGATACTGCTCTCGTGCCTGATGACAGCAGTGGAGCTTCTGTAACATGACTTACTGAACATTTAGCATCAAAACAGAGACTCCAAGGTGGGCTGGATGTCCACTCCCCTCTAATCTGGACTAGCAGTGAAGGGACAATGCTCCAGACCCAGAGTTGGCCACTTCCATTGCAATCCACTCCACTCGGAGCCCTGAGCTGCCGTGGAAGGGGAGAGGAGTGGGACAGAGTTGTTTGCAGCCTCCAAGCTGTCCAACGAAAGTGCCAGTGAAGGCCCCTTGAACCATTCAGCCAGGCTTCCAGCTGAATACCACGGAGAGAGTCCAGCTGATGCCACAGAGGACAGAGGAACTGCTTAGCTGAGCTCTCCTGATTCGTCACCCACAAACTGTAAAGTAAAAGCAGTGAGTGCCATATAATAATAAAAAAAAAGGTTTCAAACAGAATCTGCTAACTCACAAGTATGTATGACATGATAAAAAAAAAAGATGCTGAATAGTATTGTGGGCTCGTCTGCCTAACATAATATCTTATTTTTCTCCCTAAGTGTTTGACTCTGAAAATTCAGAGAATAAACAGATAATCCCATTACCCTAATATTCTCTGAGTGAAGAAAAAGCAAATTTTAATTTATGATGACCTAAAAACCTAGTGCCAGGCCTGAAGGCAAAAGGAGGAACATCATCAAAGACATTAAAGACTTCACCCTTTTCGTCTTTCTGCCTTTTCTCACCCTCAATAATACTTTCTCTCCTCAGTCAAAACTGAAAACCTATGATGTGTGTTTTCCCAGTCATCATATCCCACTGTGTTTTATCTATAGAACTGCAAAAAGTATATAAACCATTTGACCTTGCCACCATGACCACCTAGACAAGGGTAAGAGAACGAATGGCAACTTCCCATCAAGGCAGAGAGCCACTATAAAGGCCACATTACGTTTATTGTTACCTTTCTGTGCAATTAGACAAAATTCTTCTTGAAGCTTTGTATAATCCGTTGAACTTTCCAGAGGGTCTGTGAGGTGGCTAGGGGGAGTCTGAAATTCAATATCTGCACAAAGGTTGGGGTTGGAGGAATGCAAGCGAACGGGGGACATGGTGGCACTGAAAGGAACCTGAAAGGGAGGACACAAATGATTAAAGAGCAGCAGCGCATTGTCCTACAATCTCTTACACAGAAATTTATTCTGTTCTCCAAAATAACAGATTCCTCCCTGGCGACACACTTGGAGACAGTACTCATCTATTTTGCAGGTGGTTCGGGTAGGAAGGAATCTCAGTTTCCCGTAGTTGAATTAGTACTGCTACGGACTCATGGGCTGTTCACTGTCACAGGGAGAGATGATGGCAAAATGACAGTAAGAAAAGGCATAATCCCAGACAAGCTTCAGCTCTGAACCCACCGAAACAATGCTGGCAGAAAGCAATCTGAACTGTGATGTAGCTGACCTTCTCTCACAAGGTCTGGGTATTCAAGTCAGATGGCTTTTTATGCCGCCTTCTTTCTGAGTCTGGAGCAAGAATTCACTGAACAGGTAAAAATTCAAGAGGTGCATATACAGAAAGATTCACTTGCTCCATCGTCATTAGATAAAACATAAGTAAGTTTAATACTACATATAACAATGACTTAAAGAGACCTGCAATTAAATTTGCAACTGATTTATCAAAAAACATCTGTAAATGAAATATTACATAAATTACTATCATTACTTTTGTATATGACACACAACTCTGTCACATACATGAACATGGCTTATGAACTGGCCAAAAAGCATTAAGTAAAATAAAGTCATACTACTATAGATTTTCCCAAATGGCTAGAGGCACTTCCTTGCCCTTCGATTTGGGCTAGGCTTCTGATGGGTGGAGGCAAAATACTCCTTCTCTCTCCTTCTAGAAGGTTCTACCTGACCATTATAAATGCTGTCAGCCAACCATTCTTGAAGAATGAGAATGCCAATTCCTTTTATAAATCAGATCACCAGTAACCTCCCCTAATTCTTACTACACAGATATGCATTCAATTACCTTCAAGAACCAGACTTAGATACCTCCACAAGCTGAATTTTGTATAAATTAAAAGCTAATTCACCTCCTTTATCTAACAGAAAATATGCTGTAAGAGGAAGGAACCAATATTTTGTCTGATGTATAGGTATGCTAGACCCTCTTCCTTTCTTCATTTTTTGACTTAGCTTTAACTCTCATGATAGAAAAAGGGAGGCAAAGGGGCAAGAGGGAGCAAGCAAGCATGTGTCTGTGCACAGAGGACATAGAGGATGGGGGGGAAGGAGAGACCCCCCAAAATCTAGCCTGAGCTGCAGTTTGTGGGTCTGGGTGATGGAAGTTGAGACTTAAGAGGGTCCTCAGGATGCAGCTTGGTCCTGGCAAGGAGTTATTTATCTCAAAAGATATTCAGGCTTCCCAGGAAAGAAAGAGGGAATGAAGCTTTTCCCCAGATTCAGCTAAGCTAAGCATGGTAATATAGGATATCTGAAGCATTTGTTATCTGGAGACACCAGAGTAACTCTTCCTCATCCTCCATGGGGCTCTTGGCTACAGTGGGCTGGGAGATGTCAACAACTTGTTTATCTCATTAGCAACTGAATTTATGACTCTTCCAGAGAACAGATACTAAAGTGTAGACAACCCATGTGAGAAAATGGAGTCCTCGGGTTCAATAATTTGCTGGAATCCTATCCCGGCAACTCTGTGACAATAATGATTGAGGTTTTCTAAAACATCTATAAAGGAATGGGATTTATGTAGAAGAATGTTTGAAGACAGGTAAAAAAAATTGCTGATCATGACTATGGTGATGTTAAATCTATTAATAGAAAGAGGAGACAGCCCAAGGCCCTCTAGGAGGGACAGAGAGAGTCCATGGAAATGTTGGTGATGAGGAGGTCATGGGCAGAGACTGTGACTAGCAGAAATAGACAGACCAAGGAGTTTGCAGATTTAAGGATGTGGTTTCAGGATACAAGGAACTAGGAGAGCATTTGAGAAAAAGGAATGTAGGTGTTTGATGGTGGAAAATGAAATGTGTTGAGGATCATGTAAAAGGGTTTTACCTGCACTCAGGTACCCTAACACTCCAGGGGCTAGCACTGTGTTAGACACGGTCTCCTCCCTTGGGTGGGTAGGGAGGGAGAGGGGGTGATGGGAGGCCCGGGTGCAGTGGGGGCCTAGAGAGTCCAGTGAGGACCCAGACTTGTTCCTAAGATAAAGGCCTCTCTATTAAAAGTTCAATCAGATGCTGAGAAGAAAAACATGGCAAACAAGGACGAGAAAGAGAGCATACAACAGCAGGTATATGGAAGACACAGCATACACAGCTCACAGAGCCAAAGTGAAGGCTTCTGCTGCTGTTACTCTGCATCACGCGGACAGGGGTGCCTGCGGGGAGGACCAGGGGCACTGGGACTCTCAGGGCTCCCCACGGGCAGGCGCTAGTGCTTCTCTTTCCCATCCCCCTATTCTGATGGGTCTGGCTGAGGGCCTAAGTGGACCATCATGGATGTGAGTGCTAAGAATCAACAAGAACAAATCTCAGAAACATTTTGGGTGTACTTATCTCTGGGAGCAATCTCAGCTGCCCTAACACATCTGCGTTGGGCAAGGAGAACAAGTGACTGGAACCTCCTGGAAAAATTCCAGATAAAAAGCACCGAGCAGGATAGGATAGACTCAAAACACGTGGGCTAATTTTCGTTTTGGGAGGAGGAATGACAGGGAGTTAAGGGGAACCACTGCAGTCAAAGAAAGAGGAGGGCTGAGTCGCCAGTGACAGGTCACTGAGATGTGGGTGAGGAGGCTGAGGGAGGCAGAAATGATTCTGTTAGATCCTGCTAGATGTTGCTCTGCTCTGGTATGCAATTAAAAGTATAGGTCCTAGAGAGTTTAGAATACCCATTCCCTCTAGTTATTCCTGAATATATGACTAAATGTGCCAACATTGCTCATTAGTTGCTTTAAGTTATTCTTAACCTCTGTGGTCACAGTTACCCTGTGGGGAAGGTGAGCATTAATTCTTCCATCTTTCAAAACCTTTTTCTCTTGCACTTCCAAATAAAAAAAATATAAACCTATTCTATTCAAATAGGCTCTAATTTCAGTTTTATTATATTCATTATATATTTATCTGCAATTAAAAATGAACACAGTATACATACAATCACTTCTGCATGCCATCTTAGAAGTATATTATTTAAGGAAACATTTGTATTTTCATAAAATGACTGATCTTTCCTTTCCATACTGAGATACCGTTCTCTAATAATCATTTGGATTTCTGAATTTTGTAAATGAAAGGTTACATTTAAGAATTTTAAAATTGATTTTACATGTATTTATTGTCAGAATCTGCTACCATGTCAGTATAAGATATTTTATTCATCTTATTTGGATACATGTGTAAGATAACCACTAACTATGAAATCAATTTAAAATATTTCTTTGTTCAAATGTTCACAGAACTGTGAGTTTCAGTCACTTCTCTAATAAATTCCAAGTCACTAGTTCATTTCATAATCAAAATCATTTCTGTCTCTTAAACAATCCAGTTAAGTACTCAGATATAAATCAAGAGTCAGTCACTAATTATGAAGCATAAAACCAATAGTCCATACACCGATATCCATTCTCTTAGAATGCAACCAAAATCTTTTCATATTTTTCAGCAATTTTTGTCTTAAAATACACCAGCAGCAAGAGCAAGACCATAATTCAGGAAATATTATACAACAGCCAAAAAACTAATGTTTGCTATGAACTCAGAACTCTGTATTTATAAAGTTGATAGGATATTATGATTAAGCAAATATTTAGATGTATTTTTATCCAGCATAAGTTTCTTGTGTTTACATATTCTATTTCATATTCCATGTGGATAGTTGACTGTTCTAAGCAAGTTTTGGTTATCTGCCTTATCTATCTCAATACTTCCTCTATCCACCTAAAATCCATACTATTTTCTCTTAAAAAAAAAAAATCAAATCAACATCTAGATGTGAATTAAGCACCATTTAACTTTGTGGTTTTCTCCTTTCCACACTATATTTTCTGATTTTCAGCTCAATATTCTTTCCAGAAAACAATTTTCCTTTGCTAAGTGTAAGTTTGCATAGCCATCGAGAAATAGCAACAAAATTCACCATTTTGTACCCTCTCATTTCTTTATTCTCACCTTTTCAAACAGTCACATTGTGACCAAAAAAGCACAACTTATGTCTGTAGTAACTGACTTTGCTTAGAAAAACCGAAATCAGTTAGCAAAGGTTCTAAGATCAGTATGGCAAAAAGCCAAACCAAACAAAAACCAACCCCACCCCTCACTAGCCCATACCATTTAAGGAAATCCCACACACATCCTTGAATTTAAACTGTCTCTAACCCTGAGAGTGGGAGTAGAGATCTGGATCACATGATGGTTTTCCACTGCAAACCCAAACACCCGTGTGTGTGAGACGCCTGCCACGCAGACAGTCAGAGAACACGTGAGAGCTCCGCCAACCCAGGAGGCTGTGCTTGCTGCCATCCCCGCAAGTGGCACCCTTAGAGCAGGGGCATGAGAGCAGTGCACAGCTTCTCATTCTCTTTAAACATCCACTGGAGATTGAAATCCACTCACTGTTGTGGCCACTGCTGCTGCTAGCCTCTGCCGGCGCCGAGTTGTGCTGAACTGGCCCTTCGCAGATGGCCCTTCCTGACAGTGAATGAGAAGAGGAGGGGGCAGAAAACACGGGGTGGGGAGGGGGAGGATACGGGAGGATGAAAGACAGTCAGACAGGGGAGAGGGAGAATTCTTAACTGAAGTTGACTTTTGCTAAATCTTAGCATTGAAAAGAGCCTGAAAGAGTATTCACGCCATGAGAAAAGTTTATTATGGCAGACCACCCAAACACTTAAATCTATTTGCTGAATATAACCCCTACCCCAAAAGGAGATGGAAAGTTATGAAGCGATAAAGAGCTTACGGTTTCAAGGTAAAATCAATGTACCTTTTGTTTTATTCATGTAATGCCATGTTATATGAAGCCAAAAGGCCATTCAGTAAATGGAAGCAAAGGAAAAATAAGTTCAGGGGAAAGTGACTAAATAAATAAAATGCAAAGGCTAAAACAAACAGGTTGTAATGAGAGCCTTCTGTTGGCCAGGAAGAATTTTTTTGTTTCTTGCTGGGAGGAAAAGTAAGGGGAAGGATACCAGGAATATTCAACTCCCCACTTTCTCTCCTATAAAGGTCTCTGGGATTCAGTATTAAGAATGGTGTTGGGATTTTCAGATTGAAGAATTTTCCAAGGAGGAAGCCAGTCCCCATAGAATAGGAAGGTAAATCTCAATGTCCTCAGTGTGTTGGGACAACACCTATAAAAATCAAATATGAAAATCTGAAGGCCTATGTTTCATTTAGTGATGTGCACCTATGCCAGTAGAAGACTCTTAGAGCTTTTCTTTCTTTTTTCTCTTTTTGATGGACAGGATTAAGGGATAATAATATTTCCTTCTAATCAACTCAACTGTGCCTGCATTTGACAGACCCTGACTCTTCAAGGTTGTGAGAATTAATTTCAGTTCCAATTAACTGAAATGTTCTCAGAGTCACATAACAGTCAGACTGAGGGAAAAAAAAAACACAGCATGGCTATGTTAGTCTTTTTGGACAACAGGAAAATATTTTAAATTCTTATACCTCCAATTCTCTTTAAATTTTCCAAATTACATTCACATTTCTCTCCCATCTTCACAAATCCTTTGTGTACGTACACGTATATGATTATTAAACACAAACACACATACATAATCGGTTTCAGACAAAACATTTTCTATACAAAATCTCTTTATGCCTACTGTAGTTAAAAAAAGAGAGAAAGAATGTAGTTTTACTCTTCAGTGTAATTTGCGCTCCTGTGAGATCCAGGATGAATGAATGACAACAGATCATTTACCTGCTACCCCGTACCTCCAACTATTTCTCATTCTCTCCAATACCTAGGGACCTAGTATTTAATTCATGCTATTACTAACACAGGAAATCTAGTAGTAATCTCTTCTCCAGCAACCCTTATAAAATCATTCTCTTTTTGCCATCCTCCACTCATTTAAAACACAACCAAACTATTTTATTGCATAATGATGATACTGAGATTTTTATTAGAACCAGAAATTTGAATTTTGGGACACAGGGAATATTTCTCCTAACAGGTAATTCCACAGAGACTTCAATGCCACCTACTGCCTCCAATGAATTACTCAATGGATTCTTGAGCTAACTTCCCAGTAGCTTCATGTAGAAATGTGGTCCAAATTTTAATATTCACATTCAAATCAATAGTGTACTTATGTAAGAAGAAGCAATCAAACATCTAGTTTAACATGTTCTTCATTTTTTACTTTTCTGAGGTCAATTTTTAAAATGATCTATTTTATAATTATTTCAATTACAACTACAGAATGCTAAAGACCAAGTTCCATAAAACAAGATCCATAACAACAACAGAAATAATAGTAACCACTGCCACCACCACCACAAGACAGTTTAGATTTCCTCCATAAATGGCTGGTGGACTAAACGTTCTAAATGACAGAGAGGACGAAAAATGAGCCATTTACTGCAAAAAGCCTCTCATTCAGAGAAAGTGATTCAAGTAGTGAGACCATTATGAGCTCAAAACAAATACTTGGAACCATAAGATGCAGTTCTAATGGTCAAGAAACATTTAAAACAGGAGGAGGAAATCTGCAATATTAGGGTGGGAGAAAGTGGTGGGTATGTTTAATCCATCACAGTGAAAATAAATGCTATGCCTTTCTGTAGGTAAAAAACTGATGAGTAATGACATTCATATTAGTCATAGTCATCGCTGGCTAATTTTTATGGTTCCCCAGTAAGGTATGATGGTGAAGAAACTTCTGGTAACTTCACAGTCATAGAGAATGGGCATTCTAAGGGGTCTTGGAAGGTCGCTAGTTTGAGTGAGCAGAAAAAGTCTAGGGGTTGTACTAAATTCTGTAGCATTCACCCTATGATCCTTTGTTTTACCATTTCCAGTGGAAGTGAGGTTTTTCTGGGAATGACTAACAGCTTACCACCATCCCTTTGTCTATTTATTTCCACTGGAGTTGGAATTAAATTTCCTACTTTTGAAAGTTTAACATTTTCTTTGAGTATGGGGATGAAATGATTGCAATTCTCCCCCAAATAATTAAACTAGAATCACAAGGGCCATTTTGCCACTCTTTGGCAACAGAAACAAGGCAATAGAGCATAAATGAAACTTTAAGAACAATAACCCCAAAATGTCATATAAATATGAAAGAAGAATATTTTCCTGCTTTTTGAACAACTTCTTTGGATGATTAAAAAAAAAGAAAAACCTTCATCAAAGTCTCCACACATTGAAAAGCACAGCCCGTGAATGGGAGGGTTATTCGGAGTGGCATTCTGTTTGTGAGTGAGTGACTGTGGTGGTCCTTGAAACTGTACCAAGACAGCCAGTGGTACTGTGCTCAGTCACTGAGAACCAACCTACTCCAGACCATAGTTGTGAATGGCAATATGCTCAATGGGATATCTTATAAAAACCAAGATCGAAATGGTATCTACCCACATCTGTGCATTTTCCTATGATGCTGGCCTTCTTCAGTTATTCTATTTACAGTTAAGGTTCTCTTTTCCTGCCTATGATAACCATAGATACTATGTTTTAAAAATACACACAAAACTAGACAATCACTTGCTCAAAAATATGGTATTCCCAAAAGCAATTTTAGGCAATTCCTTGTGAAGTCATTTGGCACATTTGTCTCTACAGTATTAATTTTCTGAATAGAAGGGAAAAAACAGAAAAACATACTGAACAAAAGACCACAAAAAATTGTGTTCACACAATGTGGACATTCTAAATTAAAAAAAAAATAGATCTTTATTGCTTGCAAAAATCTATTTTCAAATAAATCAGATTAGTAAGCAAAGTAACAAAGAATTGGTTATTTACACATTTAGAATTAAAACACAAAGAATGTTATCAATAAAATCAGAATTAAGGAAGAATTATTGTTCTTATTTAAAAGACACTGAAATATTCTAAAAAGCAGTCCTTCTTTTGTGTTACAGATTGATTTATTGCATAACAAAAAGAAAAGCAAAATAAGAAGTCTAATTCTGATTGTGCAGGGCAAGAGTCCTTTATAATATTAATATATAGTTAGGACTGGAGTGGTAAAATTTCAAGCTTAAAGATCTGAAAGTAACATGAATTTTAACATGAGAGGTTGTAGGCATTTACCATATTTTGTATCATTGCAATGCAATGACATAAGAGGATCTTACTTTAAAATTTTTCAACTATTCATATAACTTATTTTAAATTAATTTTAAGTAAATTTATTATGAATCATGAAGACAGTTCAAATTTTAAAAGTGGCTGTTGATGGCCAATAATATCTATTTTTGTAGAATCACAGAATTTTAGAGTTGAAAGGCAATTCAGAGGTCACTAAAGCAACTCTATCACTTTACCCACAAGTTAATGGAAGCCCAGACAATTTAATAGAAATAAATGAGATTATACTGCCAGGAAATCACAGTGATTAGACTAGAATCCAAGTTTGTTCATTTCTAACCTATTGCAGTCTTCATCTCATGTATTGATAGATATAAGATTGGACAACACTAACACAGAAAAGGCTCTTTTAAGATTTAGTATATGTAAATGTTCATTACAACCCATTTGATTTTTAGTCTAGATTTTTAAGGTGACTTTTTGTTAAAATAAGGTTCAATGGCCATAACTGAGAATGAAAATGCCAGTAGACAGCTATATTACATAATTTTAAGCTTTCTTTTACATTCTTTTTACTTATGCCACAATAAGAATAGATTTCTCACTATTTTAGGTAATATAACTCAGTCTGAAAAGCACTAGCTTTAAAGCAGTTAACAGTTGCTTTAAACTTTTAAACTTCTAAGAACTGATATATAAATACTAATATTAAAAAAAACCTATAAATATGAATGAAGGAAAAGTAAGGTCTGTACCTGCAGTTGTATTTTTGTATCTTTGCTGACACTTTTTGTTCTCCATCGTCTTGTGACCCGCTTGTCTTTCTTTGAAATATCTACACAGTTAGCCTACATTGCATAAATAGTTAAAAGCAACAAAGCGTTATTAAGTTAACACAGATAATATAGGCATAGACAAAGAGAGCACAGCAAGTTAGTAAAGAATCATTGTTAGATACCTAAAGCAAACCAGCCAGGAGATAAAGGTGCATCTGATGCATAAAGGGTATTAAAAGCAGAGACAAAAACAAAACACATTTTTCTGCTATACAAAATGAAAATAGGATTAGAGATCTTTGGTGTTTTTTTGCTACTTGAAAAGATAGAACAAATTCTTACAGGACCCAAATTATACCTTCATAATTATCATTTCTAATGCAACATAAATGTAGAAGAATGACTCAGATATTCACTTATAGTTATTCTGTATTTAAATGTACAACATTTTAAAAAAGACATCTTAACACAATGACACCAAGATTCAAAAATATTAAGAATAACTCCAGAATATAAACTAATCTGTATTATAGTTATATCCCTTTAAATATTACCTTATATATTCATATAACAGTCCAGTAAAAATTCTGAGTGAATATTTTAAGTTCCTTTGACAAGCAGCTGTAATATCTTTACCTGCATGTCAGTAAAGTTAGGTGCTGACTGAGTTCTCTGAAGTATTTCCAAATTTTGCAGGAGTTTGCTAAGTTCCACAAGGTTTGACTGGCAGTGTGCAAGGTCTAAAACAGATTAGAAATAAAAATATGTTACAACTGGGCAGGAAGTGGTGGTGATGATAAAAAAAGGCAGTCTATCCAAATTATGGCAAATATGACAAGGTAGATCTAAGTTTACAGGACGATGATACTGGCAAATGAAAGAAAACAGACCCTTCTCTAGTTTAGAACTATAAAACCATTGATTATTTGCTGCATGAGTTCAAAACCCACTCTTACAGATGAACAATTAGTAAGAAGGCTATTAAAATCTCAGTGAAATTGGGAGATTCTGCTGAGACGGCCGTTGTCACATCAGAAGCACACTCCAGGGAACTTCAGTGGTCGTCCAGTTTTGCTTTTAGTAACCTGCCTACCTGCTGTGAAGGTGTTGGTGTGTAGGGCTCAGAACGCCTGCACACCCTACAGAGAGCAGGGCAGCAGCAATACACTAGGGGCCAGGCCCCCCCAGGCTCCATCTCTCAGCAGCATCTGCCCCAGGCTGGGGTCTGGGTGAGCTATTCAAGTGCTGCTGTGGCTCTTCCGGGGAACTCTTGGCCATCAGTGACCTTTACGTTCCTCAAGAGAGGAAATGACCAACGGAGGTGGCAGAAGACCATGCCGAGGAGGCCAGGACCCTTCCATCACCCCCTCCTCATTTCAGGGGGGGCAGCACCATTGTACTCCTCCCATTTCCCCCACAAAGAAAATAAAACAAGTGGCTCAGATGGGTAGGAAATACAAAAGATAAAAGGGAAGAGATGAGAGAGAAAAGCAATACAAAGAAAGAAGGAAGGGGTTGGAGGGAAGACGAGAAAGATGGTGAAGAGAGACCTCATTTTAACTTGCCTTAAAGCTGCATCATAAGCGCCATGCTGACAGGGACATAACCTAACACTACCTATCCATTAAGCATTCTATTTGCTAAATATTACATTCATTCTTCTTAATAACTGTGATTATTCTATACAAATGGTATATGTAGGTAGTATAGAGATCTAAAAATGGGGCTTAAAACCCTTTCTAACAGAAGGGAAATAGAACTTGGTGAATGGATTTGATTGAAGGCAAAAGGATTCAAAACTAAGGGTTGGGAAACATTGATTTATTTTATTTTTCTCAGCTGTAGTTTTCTTACCTGTTGAATGGTAACAGTTAATATTTACTCTCTTGCCTTCTTAATGAAAGTTGCAACTGAGACTATAGATGAGAAAATTTTCTGAAAACTAGAAACTGTCTTTATGGAATATTAATTGCATTATGTTTAATCATTCTTCTAGAGCCTTAATTTGGAATGAGCCTCACCACTTCTTGACACTCCTATCATTTAAAATATGGAAGAAATTAAATCCTTGGCAGAATTTTACTCCTTGCCTAGGTGTCTGGCTGTACATAAGGATTATAAAAATTTACCCAAGACAATAAAAATACCTTTTTAAAAAAATCTCTAGAATTTCATTAAATCAAGATTAAATCTACTTTTAGAATCTGGGAAAAAGGAAAAATTACTCCAAGAAAGGACTGTTGAGATAGTTTATTATGGTAAAAAGTTGAAAACTTAAGTATATAGCAGTTTACTTATTTTCTCATCATCCCTACTTAGTCCTAAAAAGAACTCTATCCAATATTCTGTTATAAACTATATGGGAAAAGAGTCTGGAAGAGTGAATATATGTATATGTATAACTGAATTGCCTTGCTGAAATGAACATAACATTGTAAGTCAACTATACTCTAACATAAAATAAAAAGTTAAATTAAAAAATAAAAAGAAACATGTTATCCAATTGTGCAATGATTAAATAAATTAAGGTTCCCCGATGGTTCAGTGGGTAAAGAATCTGCCTGCAATACAGGAGACACAGGTTTGATTCCTGGGTCAGGAAGATCCCCTAAGAAGGAAATGGCAACCCACCCCAGTATTCTTACTGGAAAATCCCACACAAAGAGGAGCCTTGTGGACCAGAATCCAAAGGGTTGCAAACAGTCGGACACAACTGATGACTACGTACTCAGAGCACATCCAAAGTTATCCATTTACTACTTCATTTCGGTACCACTGGTTAGGAAGATACTATGTAACCAACACAGTTTTAAGCATAGGGAATATAGCAATAAAGTAAGATTTATGGAACTTACATTCTGGTTTAAAGAAAATATATACAATAAATAATCTGTACCTTAACTATTATGTACCTATTTCAGTGATGGCATATACTGGTACATGGTACACAAGGAAGGCACATAAAATACTAATTTAACATTTTGCATCTGTGAGAAAAAGTGCGCTCCAAGAGCTAAGAAACTCCCTTATATACTTAAGCTCTGGACTGACAGACATCCAGACCTATGAATAGCTAACCTCTTTAAGTACTGGAACTATAAATGTACTGTGTTATGGGTTCAAGAAGATGTTACATGATGAACGTTTGAATTGCAACCAACCTCAATAATGGGACTCTATAAAATAATCAGAATAGACAAAAAAAAAAAGTGCTGTGGTAGTTCAAGAAAGGGATAGTTATTGTGGTTTGAGGTCGTCAGAGTAGATAAGACAGGAGAAACTTTTGTGGGTCTGGAGGATTGACAGAGGATCCAGAAAACTAGGAAGATGGAGAAGGGCAGAGTGGTCACAGCAGGTTGAGAACAGCCTGTGCGAAGGCGTGGAGGCAGGAACGTGCAAGGACACTCTGGAGATAGCACGTAAATTTAATTCAGCCTATGGAAGGCAAGGTTGAAAGGGTAGGCAGGTCTGGAAAGCTGAAAGTTGGATGTTAAATGCTGGGCTAAGTAGTTTGGACTACAGCCCAAGAGTCCACAGAAAACCACTCGAAGAGATGTTTGCAAAAAGTTATTTTAAGAAATAGTGGTCTTAAGGGACTACATATTTTATATAGTGAACAAAGAATTGGCTTTGGGATTACTAAATGTGGGTTGGCTGGAGTCTGTGGGTTGGTTGGAGCCCCAGGCTCTCCATCAGGGCAGTGCATAACTGCGAAGATTCCTTAACCTCCACGCATTTCACTTTCCTCATCGGCAAAGTGGGGGCAGCAGTAATACATATATCTCACAGCCAAGGGCAATGGGATGATGCCTGCTAAGTGCATATCCAAGAAGAGGAGTTCCCCAGGAGCCTCTGAGAGCCATGGAGTCACAGAGCAAGAGACTGAGGGTGCGGGTACCAGTCAGAGGCTGGTGAGCAAAGAGGGAGCATGAGTTAGGCTGGCAGAAATGGAATTCCAGAGGAAGGCAGATGAGGGGGAGTGGTTCCAAAGAAACAACGACCTCAGCCTCAGTGGGATGGACAGGTTGGGTGGGGCAGAGATGACAGAGGTTTCAGGAGTGGTTATGACGGCAGCACCGACAAACACAGGGGAATCCAGCAACTGGGGCCGTTTTCACAGAGGAGACAGAATTGGGTTTTGACAGGCTGAGAAGACAGCGTGACCGAGTGCATCAACAGAAAGGGTCAACAGTAAGGGGAGCGGGTGGGAATGCAGCACAGGCTGGGTACAGAGGTCTGAGACACAAAGAGTGTGCCGCCTTTCTGAGGGAGATATGGTACAGTGATTAAGAGCACACGCTCCGGACTCAGACCATGAGTCTGAATGCCAGCTCCACTATCACCAGCTGTGTCAACTTGGTTAAAGTGACCTGACTTCTCTGAACCTATGTTTTCTCACCTGTAAAGCGGCACTGAGAGGATTAAATGAGTCAATGCATACAAAACACCTAGAACAGCACCTGCTGCACAAGACGTGACCCATCCTATCAACTGCCACCACGACCACTGCCATCTTATCATCACTATCATCATCATAATAGAGACTGTGGTTAGAGCATGCCTATTGTTTCCAAAGCACTGAGCATGGTCATTAGGATCAAGTTGATCAGGGTTAGCCCTGCAGCTCTGCCAAGTACTTGCTGTGTAACATGGACAAGTTACTCGACCTCTCTGAGCTGTGGTTTTCCTATTTATAAAAATATGGCTCACAATTCCTGCTTGGTACTATTCTGAAAATGTATAAAAGACCACATATGTAAAGCACTTAACTCCGTGCCTGACCCTCATGAGCACTCAATAAACTAAGCTTATTATTATTGAAGCTAAAAGCAGAATACTCAATCTTGATCGTCTCCACAACCAAGGCTGACCAGAGTAGAATCCCAGTGAGATAAAGGAGGAACAACTGGAAAAAAAGGGAAAACTTCACAGGACCTAAAAGCGGAGGCTCATTAGACAAGGTCTTGCAGGGCGGGTCAGAGGATGAGGCTTGAGAACACAGCAGAAATCAGATGGCCTCTTGTTGCCAAGAAGGCTTTGGCCATAGAGTCATAAGGGCCAAGTCACCTTAGGGGAGAGAAGCTGGAGTCTGTAGGCAGGAACAAGGAAAGTGGGAGAGACTTAGGTTGTTTCCAAGAGAAGAGATCATTCCTCCGCTAAATCCTGAAGGAGAAGAGAACGGCAGGATGAGGACACATATGGAGACGTCAGGATGGGGAGAAAGGAGGGTCACCCCCGAGACTGGCCAAAGGGCACAGGGATGGGCCACAGAGTATTCAGAAGCACACAGGGACGCAGAGACATCCCCCACCAGTCAGGGGCTTCTTGGCATCACGGCCAATGTCTGTCTATCTTGGTCACATGAATGCACTTCTGTCCCGGTGGACAGTCTCCATCTTTTCAACAACGTTAGTGGCCAGGTTGAACGCCACAAGCATGTACAAGGAGGCAGAAAGGAGAGGAGACTGGCAGAGCCGCAGAGGTGAGCCGAGTCTTCCGTATGTAGGACAGTGAGCTCGGCCTCTTCCCCAACCTGAAGTTCACAAAGGCAAAGTGATATCTGTGTTTTGTGTATACACTCAAGTAAAACCTTTTCAATGGAATGTCAGCTTGACATACTTCATGAATATAACATCCCCCTTAAAGTCATATTTTTCACATAAATACTGAGCTTGGGATGTGGTGAGAACTAATAAAAATGCCGCAGACTTTGAGTTCATACATGTGTAGAGCAAAAAAAAACTTGTTTTGGTCAGGGCATGAACACAGATCAACAAATTTCAATTTTTCTAACTGAGGTCACACAATAATGTAACATCTCCTTTCACCATAACTTTATAAAGGAAAAAATTTAATATTAAAAAAAGAGGCCCAATATTACCTAAAAAATAATTTAAAAATTAAATCAATTTAGATTTACTAAATACCTGTTATTATTATTTTTTTTTTCTTTTCATTTTTGAATGTCAAATGAAAGCCGTCTCACAGACTGGAAATGGTCTGCGGATCCAGTTTGAACCAACATGCTCAGGTTCATGACATGGAAGGAAAAAGCTTCTGCAGGTCAAGAGGCTGAGAGATGGTATAATGAAGGAATTGTGTACTAGTTCAGAGTCTTCAAGGACTGATCCACAGTGGGACACCACACCAGGCAACTGTGGCTATAAGATGCAGTATAACATGGCTGTTTATTGCTGGTAGTTGGGGAACACACACTGTTCTGTGGGCCAGACAGAGCAGCAGAGAAGGCGGCCGTGTAAGTGACCTAGTGGACTGTCAGGAGAGAGGGTGGAGGCTGCTCCCGAGGAAGCACTCAGCTGGGTGATCGCCCCCAGGGTCCAGGGTGTGGGAGGCTAAGGAAGCCAGAGGAAACTGCTGAGGAAATGAGGTGAGAGGGTTGAAGTGGGTGGGAGTCAGCGTAGGGGTGAAACCAGATTCAGTAGTTCTGAGGGTGCAGGGGAATGGACAGGTAAGAAACCTGAAAGGTGCAGGACCCATAGAATTTGCCCCTTTCGTGTCTGTCTTGTTGGCTCACCCTGAGAGCCCACGCTGGGCATGAACTGACCTTCCGCACACCTGTCCATCTCTTCCGAGTCCTGGAGCCAGGCTGCCACCTTGCTCTGGCCGGTCGTGCAGGTTGCAGGGAGGCTGCTGCTACAGGGCAGAGGGGACTGCCATGGAAAGCTGTTTGGCTGCACCTACAGTGAACAGAAAAATGTGTAGGGTTAGGCAGGAATAGTACATGTAAATGACTAAAAAGAACACTAGCCTCCTCAAAGCGACATTAAAAAAAGGGAGGGGGAAGGACAAGCTCAAAATATGGAAGAAGCCTCTTGGCTAAATGTGGTACAAGCTCAGGGGAGTCAAATTTCATAGGTGATCACAACACTTGTTAAGCTGCCATCTCCACTGTACAATGAAGCGGACAATGTTTATGAATCTTATACTTGCAAGGACCTGCCAACTCAAATTTTCAATGGTTTTTGATTACTCACTAAGTTATGGTTGATAGTGTCCTTCTTGCAGTCCTCAACTCACGACTGAAGGCCTTTACTTTTTGAAAGCTCTCTGTACCCTTATGACTAACTCATGGTGTTATCAGCCACTTGTGATTCTTAAATACATTATGCACCAGCAAGCATCCTTTCCATCAAAATATTGAAAACCGCATATTCAGTATGGCATTGCATATTGAAAACTGTAACATATAAAATGGCAGTCTTGGGAATTCCCTGGCACTTCAGTGGTGAGGACTCAGCACTTTCACTGATGGGGGCCTGGGTTCAATCCCTGGTCAGTAAAGTAAGATTCTACAAGGCACCCAGCATGGCAAAAAAAAAAAAAAAAAAAGCCAGCCTTGGCAAGTTATTATTATCTATAGCTGACAGACTTTCTGTTAAAGAGATTTTATGTGAAATAAAGTGATATGAAGTATGTAGATACTAAAGTGAGTGTAAGAAACACTCCAAGAAAAAAGCAGAAACGTATTCCCCTAAACCTGAAACAACTTTAAAACTCCGTATCTAACTTTAATATTCAATTACAACTGATTGTGTCTCTTGTAAATCATTATGAAGTGAAGGATGTGCATGCTTAGCAAACCCAGACTTATTTATTACCCACACAGGGCCACAAAGCAATTAACATTCTGGAACCTCATCATTTGATGCCTAGAATGCAAGCAAAGTGATAAAAAGCTCTTTTCACTCTTTATTGCACTTTGATAAATGTAATGGAAATCTTTCACCAAGTTAGATCTTAGCGGTATGTCGTTTGTAATGAGAGCAATACATCTATGAAAACCAGAGCTGAAGCCCTTTCTTATTCCAAGGCAAACAATGGGGAGGATTTGGTTTCAGTTCTCCATTCTCAGATGTCACCCAAGTGATTTAATACATAACACAAGAGATGAAAATAATACATCTTTTATCAACACTGTGCCAAAGACACAGGCAGAAGCTGGAAGAACCAAATGATTAAATATGTATGTATTTTTAATATCCATCTAGAATACATTTCTTGTTTAATTTGGACTAACTCTGGGATTCATTCCATTTTGTGATGAGAACACAGGAGGCCCAGAGAATCTTGGGGACTATCTTGAACATCTTGTGTGTGTTACTCAGTAAGTGACCTGTTCCCTAATAACTGATTCATTAGTCCCCTAGAGAAGGAAATGGCAACCTACTCCAGTATTCTTGCCTGAAAAATCCCACAGACAGAGGAGACTGGCAGAGTCCATGGGGTCACAAAAGAGTTGGACATGACTTAGTGACTAAACAACAATTGGTTCATTTTCTTATATTTCAGAAGCAGTTAGTATTAGGGTTAATCTAACACCCTGTTTCTAGGAGAGAGATATTCCAGAATGAAATACGTTTGAGAGCCTTGTGAAATACTGGGTTAGCCAAAAAGTTCTTTTGCGTGTTTCTGTAGGATGTTATGGAAAAACCTGGATGAACTTTTGGGTCAACCGAATATAATTAACAGGATTTAACAAAAATTACTTCAGTGATTTCCATCAAAACAGCAATAGCTAAATACAGCTGTATTTAATTTAATCTGATTTTATGAGTCTTCCAGTTACCCCATGAGGTTTTTCAATGCTTTGTAAGGAAACTTGGATATATGTTAGTCCATATATCCCTACGTAGGAAAACAGAGAAAAGCAGAACCTTCACTGAAACACACTTGAACTCAGTTCCCTGTGGCAGCCAGTTGTTCACAGATGTCTCTATTCTCAATATCAGGTGCCAAGTAAGAAACTGGAAGACTCCTGGGTAGTGCAATGTGGCTATGGTTCAGAAAACCTAATTATTGCAGCAAAGGCAAAAATAGCTCTCTCCCTGTTCCATTGACTTAGCCTTGGTTTTTAACAGGTAACACCTCTAGTTTTTCAACAACACAGAAAAAAAACAGCCCAAAGAATAGCTTCAGTCTCCCTTAATCTGGTACAATGGAAAAGACACCAATTTTGGAAACAAAGATGAAGACTCAGATGAAGCTGAGATGAAGACTCAGCTGATAATGTCTTCTGGAAAAATGCTTAACTGTCTCTGAGCTTTGGCTATATTAAAGATTAGTGATGAATGAATGTCCAACGCTTAACACAGTGCCTAGTCTCAAACATGCCACTACTTATATGTTACTGTCGCAATCTCTTGCCCACTTGCCTCATCATGGGGAAATTCACTGGTCTCTTTCATGGTCATGTATATATTACAGCTCAAGGCAAAAAAGCAAGTTTCATTCTGAAAACACTGTGGTCTTCTTATTACCACCCAGGAAGACATTGATTTCTAGGTGTTGATTAACCAAATGTTCACTCTACTCTCTAATATGCTTATAAAGCCATGTAAAATTAAGACATAGTTGAAACAAAGATGAAGACTCAGATGAAGCTGAGATGAAGACTCAGCTGATAATGTCTTCTGGAAAAATGCTTAACTGTCTCTGAGCTTTGGCTATATTAAAGATTAGTGATGAATGAATGTCCAACGCTTAACACAGTGCCTAGTCTCAAACATGCCACTACTTATGTTACTATCGCAATCTCTTGCTCACTTGCCTTATCATGGGGAAATTCACTGGTCTCTTTCATGGTCATGTATGTATTACAGCTCAAGGCAAAAAAGCAAGTTTCATTCTGAAAACACTATGGTCTTCTTATTACCACCCAGGAAGACATTGATTTCTAGGTGTTGATTAACCAAATGTTCACTCTACTCTCTAATATGCTTATAAAGCCATGTAAAATTAAGACATAGTACATTCATAGGAAAAGTAACTGTTAATTCTCTTGGTGATCCACATTTCCATCTAATCTACTCTATACTTGTAATTAACTTTGATGCTAAATGTCACTATTGTTTTCTGAGAGTTAGTTTACAAAGCCAACCTTTTCTTCCTGGTTTGTCAAATGAGACTCAGTAAATATGTCTGCATAATCTTCCAAGCAATTTCTGGGCTGACTTTTATATAATGAAGTCATACCTTTCCATCCACAACTGAAACATTAGCAGCTGGTGAGGATTCAGCTGTGGAGGTTGAAGGAAATATGTGAAAACTAGCATCTCGTGGGGATCTCACAATTTCATTCTGCCGATACAACCGATGATGGCGCAGTTTGGAGACCCATGCATCAAACCAGTCCTGGGATTTCACCTACAACAATTAAAAAAGAGGAATAGGTAATGGTGAAGCCAATATCCTGTCTAACCACTAGTCTATGCAAATGATTTCCCAGATATTGGCAGAGAAACCATTTTAAGGTGTCTTTACCTTCAAATGATAGATGTGTTCTTCGGTATCAAGGTCTATTCTCCGAGCTTTCTTTTTAATTGACATGACAGAGAGTCCCACATCGATGCTTCCATGGACCTTCCCTTTCTGGATCTGAAATCAAAAGATTGGTTAAAAGGCTGAAAGGATATGTGATCTGATGTGTTTCTGTACTAAAGTGAGCTTAATGTAAACTTAATTTATCTACAGGAGATGGAAGATCACACCTCCTGAACAGAGAAGAAATGGCTAAGGTTCTGAAGTTAAGGTCCTTAATCTGAGGACAGCTGAAGTTGCAGTGACTTCATGCCAATTTCAATTAGTAAGACTATTCATCTCATCTTGTTTCGGCATAACTATAATGTCAATTCTTTGTAACTCTAGATTACACAGTTTACATCCTAAGAGAGACTTTTTCTGGTTCCTAAAATAACTATGGTCCATCTTTGCCCTACAACCCCAAACATACCCAAGTAATCAGCTAGCAGACAGCTGCAGGGTAGAAATGGGCAGTCGGGACTGAGTACACAGAGCAGGCAGCTCATCTTCTGGCTGCCCTCATCTGATCAAGGACACACAGCTGACTCATGAAGGAGCTAGGGTCGGAACTGAAATCTGAGTCCTCTGCTATTTCTCCCACACACAATGATAAGAAGGAGAGTGCTTTCCAGTTTTGCATGCAAACAATAACTTTTGATAATAAAGAAAGGTAATTTGGAATAATTTTAGAGCTGGGATGCTCAAGATAAAGGAATATATGAAACAGAAATGAAGTCCATAGATAAGTCTTAAAAAAAAATCAGTAAGAACACAGGCTGAATTTCAGAAAAAGCACATAAAGCATAGTTTATTGAGAAATGCAGGGAAAAAATTCTACTTGAGTTTTCTAAGACAGAAAGGGTGATTTTTGTTAGTTGGTGACTTTTAGGTTTAAGCTTCTGTTTTTAACAGCATACATTACAATAGTTAAATTTTCATGCAGCAGTTTGAGATTTTATGCTAGCTTGAGCATAAGCATAAAACACACCTTCCATGCAACATGGAAGTCTGGTAGGTTAAGTCTTACAGGCACAGAAACACACAGAACTGGTAACTGTGGCACAACACTTGTATACTATGGTGTTGACTCACTTCAAGCAGAATTCGAAACCAATCCTTTTGTCTACTTACATCAAGTGGTGCCTTTGAATACTTTAACATTCCATTATCCAGGACAAAAAAACGCTGCAAGAACCAAACAGTCCCCAGTTACTATCAGTATTTTGAATTACATTAAACATTCACAAGTGTGGGTCTAATATTGCTTGGTACTTAGTAATCAACATGTTTGACCATTTCCATGTATTTGAATTTAGTGCACCTGGCCACAGCCAGTCACATGAAATGGTAAGGAAATCTGAGCTCGCGTTCCATACCATTTACCTAGTAGGGTTCTTTTACACATAATCCAATGGGGATGAAATCTTTCACCACAGTTTTCTTTTCTTTTCTTTTTGGCTGTACCGCACAGCTTCTGGGATCTCAGTTCCCTGACCAGGGATTAAACCTGGGCCGAATTCTAACCAGTAGACCACATGGATGCCCCCCATCACCAGTTTTTCTTAATGGGGGAGTGGGGGGTAGCAGCCTTATCAATATGCTTGCATCTCCACTTAGAAAAATACTTCTATTTCACTATTAGTAAAACAGATTAAAAATTATTTCTGAACTCTATTAAGGGGGAATAAATAGATATATTTGGAGTGGTTTTTGTCTCTTCCAAGATACTCTTGGTCCAGTCCAAATAAATCTAGCTATTTTTGATCCACAAACCTCAGGAGCTCTTTTGGTTGATTTCCTTTCCATGGACAATTGACAGGAGAACAAACAGCTCCCATGACCCAGTCAAATAATGGGTCCAGGGTCCTCTACTCTCCACAGATGCAGGTAAATTACTGTGGCTGGTAAATTACTCGGCTGGGAAGTGTCTATGTGACTTAGGAACTCTAGGCTGCTGAGGTGACAGGCAGTCGGGCCTGGGGACACCCTATACAGAACTCACAGAAGGCCACTGTAACCCTTTCTTACAGTTTTGGGGGGCAGCAAGTAAGCACTGGAGGAAAGAACCTTTACAGCTGAAAAATACTTGAGTTTATGATTGCCTGTGACTCGGGCAATCAAATGGACTGATGCTTGAATAAATACAGTATCACAGACCAGAAGCAAAGGAGATGAAGGGAGGACCTACTACTGCTCATGTAGCAAAACATTCTAAGGGATGATCCAGAAAGAGCTGCAGCTGAACCACAGCCAATTTTGCTGAAACATGGATTGAGAGTGCTAAAGTCAGCAATTCAGATAAATGTGTTTTTTTGACCTCTTTCTTCTATTTTTCCATTTCTATCTATCAAAGAATTCTAGCAGAGATAACCTATAGGATGGTCATGGGGAGGAGATAAGCAAGGCCATTGATTTGAGGAATTGAAAAGTGGGAAGGTCAGAATGAAAGGCAAAGGTGCTTCCAGGAAGGTGTAAGGCCAGTTGACCAAAATCCAAGAGAGATCAAGGGTGAAGAGAGATTCCTGGTACTGGTATAATATTATGGGTTCAAGGAGACTGTCAAGGTTTCTGACAAGTGAGAGAGAAGAAGACTGTTTGACTGGCTTTCATTCCATCCTCAGAGCTAGCGAGTTGAGGCAACATTTCCCATCTGTTAATTTTTAAGTCCTTCCCTTAATTTGCAAAAAATACATTTCCTCAAGGATGTTATAATCCATAACCTCCATTTTTGAGCCAATGGGCAGCAACCACCACTCCATTTGCACCCCCAAATCCATCTGCCTTGAGATGAAATCCATCAGCAGATGTGGCAAGTAATGAACCTGTTCTTCCAGTGATTCTAGATAGATCCTGGTGGTCTACCCAAAGGCTTATATTGAAAACAGAGGACAGCTTGCTTCTCCTAAGTGTCCAGAATTCTTGCTACTCAGGTCATTGCAACAATACAGTTCAAAATATTTTCTTCATAATTAAAACTGGAAGATGGAAAAATTATGTGGAGTTGGGGAGAGAGAAATACACCAGATATACTAAAGGGCAGTAGACAAACTTCTAAGAAAGCGATTTTCCATCTTTAGTTTGCACTGGCAAACAATAATTCTAGGAATTTACTCCAAGAACCTAAATGGAAATTCATGTATAAGAATCTTCATCACAACATCATACAGTAAAAAATCAGACACATGTATACACAGCAATAGGAAACTGGTTCAGTAGTGGTGGGATATATAGTATAAATCCATCTGATGAAATACATGCATGCATTTAAAAGCAGCTCAGGTTTAGAAGAACGTTTAATAAGAACATATTTATCCTAATTGAAGTTTATAAAGCAGAGTACACAACAATATGTGTAAACTGGATTTTAAATATCATATAAAATATTTTTTCTCTGCTTACAGACATTACAGAACGAATAGATATGACAGGTTGCAGCCTGTATGGTTAAAATAAGGCTGTATAACCACTTACTGACACCAAGGAAGACCCTCTCTAATTAAGAAGATGATCTGAAGATGAATGTGATGAAAATGGTACCTTGTGCCAGCCTTTTAAAGGCCATTTTCTCTTCTTTAGCATAAAACCCTCATGTTTGTCTGGTCTCTGGACATTGGTTTGGCCTATTTTCAGTCCTTCTATAATTTCCCAGCTGTCAGCTTCCTAAGAGAAAAGAAGAAAAACAAATCACATATTTCTCAGTGTTTGATGACATACTTAGAAGCAAATTCCAAGGTAGAAGTTGCTTTTGAAACAACACTCAACCCATTAGAGGCATGAACATCACTCTGGCGCGTTCTCTAACATCACACACAGCTATGCACTTATAACCGAAGTGAGAATGCGCTCTTGGGTACACCTGGAGGAATGCAGGCCATCAGAAAAGAGCTGGACAGCGGTGAAGTCTGGGGTAGAATGGTTTTGATTGCCTGTATTCACAAGATTTAAAATGCACTTTTCCAGGCAGTTCATCTCTGCGGACAGAGGCACATTAAAGTTTTAAAATAAGATCATTTTGATGAAACATGTTCAATTAGTGTGTGGGCCTGACTTTCTGTAGAAATAAAAAGGCTGTAGTAGCCTAAGTAGCTCACAATCTGTTAGGCTGAAGAGCAGCACTGTGGGCATCTGTTTCCCCTTGGTGAGGCTGCTGACATTTCTAAGTGAGCATAAAATGCCCCACTTGCCAAATACCCACCAAGAAGTCCATGCTTTCGAAGACACACGTTGTGAGAAAAACACACCGCTGGGAGCCCATGGAAAGAACANATTGGGGGCAGGAGGAGAAGGGGACGACAGAGGATGAGATGGCTGGATGGCATCACCGACTCGATGGACATGAGTTTGAGAAAACTCCGGGAGTTGGTGATGGACAGGGAGGCCTGGCGTGCTGCGATTCATGGGGTCGCAAAGAGTCGGATACGACTGAGCGACTGAACTGAACTGAACTGAAGATCTGGCAATATTGGTCCTGCCCTGGGGGATGGCAGCCCTTCTTCAGTCTGCCACAGTCCCCTTGGGTCTGCTTCCATGTTGGATAGCTGCTCTGTAGCAACATCTTGGGTTTTAAAATCCCCGGACCAGGGAATTTCCAAGGGCCCAGGCAGCTCTATAGTAACCGCTGACCTGGTAAACACTCGTGTTTTAGATCTCAGGCTTGGGGCTCACTCAAGCAGAAGCAGAGGCAGGAACAATGAGGTCACATCACGTGCACAACTGCTGCACTCCTGCCCATGGAGCAGGGAAGCAAAATCTCCCACCACAACCTGCTTGGCCACCTCAGCTCTCGAAAGCTGGATGCAGCTTCATGGATCAGGGCAGGCCTCTCTGCAGAACGAACTGACCCAATCTGACTCAGGAAGCTGACTTCTGAGGGGTGTTCTATCAGCAACCTTCTTTATACTATGGCACAGAGGCTTCAGCGGGAATGGCAAGGGGTTCTATCTTGGGGCAGGTGGACTTGCCAGCCCCGGGTCTGGGTGGTGGCTGTCCAGAGTCTGCTGCAGGACTGTGAGGCTCTGACAGGACCCAGGGAAGGGGCCATAGTCAGCTACTGACATCAGCCACGGAGATGGGAGGGGAGAGGGCTGCATATTTGCCATCCATGCCTCTTTCTTCTGTCTTCTTTCATCTCAGAAGCTGCCTGCCTTCGGCTGTGCGTACTTAGTTGCTAAGTCATGTCTGACTCTTTGAGACCCCGTGGACTGCAGCCTGCCAGGCTCCTCTGTCTATGGGCATTCTCCAGGCAAGAAAACTGGAGTGGGTTGCCATGCTCTCCTCCAGGGTATCTTTCCACCCCAGGGATCAAATCTAGGTCTCTCACATTGCAGGCAGATTCTCTGCCATCTGAGCCACCAGGGAAGCCCACTTGTTCTATGGCTGAGTCAAATCTATGTGTAAGTTCAAATATGTGTAAATGGACTGGGATTTTCACAGAAAATTGTTTCCAGGAGATGTGGCTGAACATTGCTTCATGCTAACATCATTAAGGCTAGGAGATACTCCTGGCTTCTGAAGCCAGCATCATGCTTCCTCCTGCCTGGAGCCCAAGCCCACAACCACCACCACCCCTGAGAACTGATCCAAGATCATTGCCATTTCTCCATCTTCTCGGTCATCTCTGAGGGTGCCTGGTGAATGAGCTATTCATACATCCCTCACGGAAATGCAGCTGCCAGTGCTTATCTGGTGACATTAAGAACCTTTAAAGGAGCTGTAAACTTCCTTGTACACAAGAAAACAACCTACAAAGAGATTCTCTACTTAAGTACTGTCAGAAACTGTGATTGATCTGGTCAGAACCATTAATTAGATATGGTAATTTTTTCAAAAATATTTCTTTCTAAATAAATCCACTTCCTACCTAAAAAAAAAAAAAAACACTTCTGATGAGACAATTTCAGGCTCTGTACCCTATTTTTAGGACAGTAACAGGCACTGTCCTCAGGAGTACAAAGCAGAGTGCTTTGGTATATTCATTTTTTAATACTGAACTGTAATGCAATCCAGGTGAGCACTGTTTATAAATAATGAGAGAATAATAGAAGAAAATAGCAGGTTCTTGTACAAAGTCCAGTTATCTTTGGCTTTTCATTCCCATCAGTGAAGCAGATAAAAATGATTGATTTTTATTCCATAAAACTAATAGATTTCTTTTAGAAAGCCTTAATGTAATCAAGAAAGTACAAGAAAGACTCTCTACATATGTGTACCTATATTCATGAGCACTCTCTGGTCCTAGAGAGATATCAGCTGTATTTAATGATATTTCTATTTTTAGTAGCCCCATTGATGGATAGAATCTCCAGAAGAAAAGCATTTTTATTTTTGGCTAGATCTTATCTTATTTGAAGGCTAGTGTTCATCTTTGATTTATTCTCTCCATGTGTGACGAACACTCTGCCTTACTTATGAAAATGGAAATCTTTAATAATAAGTACAAATGCTATTTGAATTTTTTCTTAATTAAATTCAGAATGTAGTAATAGCTTGTCCCTATGGAACTATGACTACTGATCTCTGTCACAGCATTTTTTTTATTCTTTGGGAATTTAACTACAGAGGGAAAAAAGGGGCGGGGCTGTGTGGATAAGACAGAAAAAGCAAAAAGCTTAAAATGTATTTTGTAAATATACATGCAGCAGTTCTGAACAGGTAACTGCACTCACTCTGATTCAGCATTACTACATCCAGCAAAAGGAATTAGGAAGAATCCTAATACAGTTCTTAAAGTTAAGTAAACTGTCAAACAGACAAAAAAGCAGAGGATAATGCCAGAGCAAACAACTCTATTTCAATTATAAATACTGATGATAATGGTACAAATAAGGTGTGTAAGAAATGAAATATCCTATCTTAGGACTTCGTACAATTCATCTCTATACTTAGTAGACCAGGTCTGTCTTGAGAAAGCTAAAATTGTTTTCTGAAAACTGAATAACTTTTCTTAATTTCAATTAATATCAATTTTCTTCTTAAAGTCACCAACATTCATAGGTTTACACATATTAGAAACAGAGTTAAAAACCCTAACATAATCAGTACTTGCAACAGATATACAAACATTTTTGTTATTACAAAAGTTTTAAAAACACCTTTGATCTAATAACAATACCCCCAAACAGAAATGAACCTGATAACAGCCCTAGGCTGTTCATTTGGAAAAAAAAGACATTTCCTTTCTCAAGAGTATATTCTATAGGCGCGTATGTGTAGGTGGTGGATATGTGAAATGCTTTAGGAGGTGAAAGTATCAAACAAAGCATTTGAACAAATCGTGAGACAAGACTATGTGTACTTTAAACAGTGTTCTTCCACCACCAGCCAGTACCCAGGGAGTCCATCTTCTCTCAAAGTGGCTGAGGGATGGTGAGATACTATGGTGTCTGGATTGAACGGGACTCTGATTTCATGGGGTCCCAAGAGAGCTGTTATGTATTTGTACAGAAACACAACAAGAATATGAGTTACACAGCAAGATCTAAGCAGGCAGATGCATGGAGAAGAAAGGAGAAGTGGATGTTGCCGGGGTCCTACCCAGATCCCAAAGTGGGTGCTCAATCAGTGTGAGCCATCTTCTCCATCACCCCTACATGGGGTTATTCTCTGTCCTTTAGCTGTGTCTTAAGAGAGAACTGAGGTTTCAAAGAGATTTCTGGTCATATTTACCAAGTAGACATTCTCTGTTTGCCATTCAAATAGAAATAAGATTGTTTTTCATTTCTAAGTTGTTTTGTTTGTTTTTTTTTACAGTTTAATAGCTCCCTTATTTTAATTTGGCAACCTGCTCCTATCTGACAGAATAAACTCTATGGCTTGTAACACCTTCAAAGTATAAAGAGGTACTATATTCTATAATACAATAGTGTAGTAGAGCATTCTTTTCACAAAGGATTCTGTTTAATGTAGGAAAAGCAACATTGATGAATCAGTTATCCATACTTAGTTAACCTTTTGGGGAAATAAAGTGCCATTTTTGTCTTTGGATTCAAAATCTCCATGCATTCTATTTTTTGAGTTTCTCAGTAGGGGAGCCGGAAAATCTCAGGGAATTGAGCAGGGGATGGGAATAAGTAGGATGGTGTCTCCTCGACTCTTCTTGGTGATTTTTGCACAGGCACAAGTTAATTTAGATGTTCCCGTAGTCTGAGGAAAAGGAAGCCCAGGGAGAGGGAATACTGGCTTCCAAGATTCAGAAAAGGTCTGCACCAGTAGTCTCTGTGGCCCCCTCGGAGCTCGCTGCTAGGAAGCCCAGCTGTAAGAAGGGGCCTGAGCTCTGAACACAGAGCAGCCCCCCTGGGCAGGGACTCTTACCCTGCAGCTGGGGCAGAGCTTACCCGAGTCTAAGTCTGAGTCCCTGACCTGCGACTCAGCAGCTTTTTTCACTCTGGGCAAGTTACTAACTCTTGGTTCCTGTATTTGTAAAATGTAATAAATACCTACTCTATATGGAACTGCTCATAAGGATTATAGTAAATGGAGTCATCTTAATACAATACCTGGTACCCAGTGCATGGTACCTGCTGTTGCTGTTGCTGTTACTTCGGGGCCCAGTGATTTTTTTTTTTAATTACCTTGATATAGAAATATTAGCTCATTTCTCCAAGAGAGAAGGATGATAATTTCTCTTGCCTTTCCCTTAGAACAAAGAAAGTGAAAAGAAATGAAAGTGTCACTCAGTTGTGTCCGACTCTTTGCAAACCCATGGACTGTAGACCACCAGGTTCCTCTGCCCATGGAATTCTCCAGGCAAGAATACTGAATTGGAGTATTTCATGTTTAGTAGTGGACTGGCATATTTCAATTCATTTCCTCCTCCAGGGGATCTTCCACACCCAGGGATCGAACCCGAGTCTCCTGCATTGCAGGCAGATTCTTTACTTTCTTACCCACTGGGGAAACCCAAAACAAAGAGAATTCTGGCCATCTGTATGTAACCCTGCAAATCTCATCAGCAAATACACGCTCATCTCTTCCCTTCTTAGGGCAAGATAACCTACACACTGGGGGGGTAGAAAGAAGAGAAAGAGCAGTTCTACAATGGGCATCACAACCAGTTTAGGGGAGTCAGGTGAAAGAGGTGTCGTTCAACTGGCCCGGGGCCATGCCTCCTGACCTTGGAGAGTGGCACCGGCTCTGGCTCCAGCAGCTGCCGACTTAGAGAGGGTTCGGTGCTCGTGGAAGAAGTCCTCTCCAGTATGTGGATGCTCTGAAAATGCACAGAAATACAGCTGAGGGTTAGAAAATCCATTCCTCATGTGGGTGGACAGAAAGGTGAGATCACACACATCACAGTGAGAGCAGCGAGCTAGGTCAACGATGACAAGCTCCAGAGGGGACCAAAGGCAGCAACGACTGTAAGAAAAGTGTCAGGACAGGATTCTGTGTCCTTCCCTTATGGATTTGATGGTGCATTTCTGCTACAATACTGATTTTAGTCTTAGAGAGTCAGAGAGCACATAAATTAAAAAAAAACAACCATGGAATAAGTCCCAACATTTTCATAACTTTATGAGAATGGTGGTACACCCACTACCTTAGATGGCTAGCCTTATATAGAAATATTTGCTCATCTTTTGAATGGCAGGAAACAGAGGAAGGTCTACATCAAAAATCCCAGAGCCATAATACTGTTCAGTGCCTAGAGTTTCTTATAATCCTTATAAGATAATTATATAATGGTATAATTATTATAGTTACAATAATATGATAATTCTTAAATGCAGAGAAGAAAATGATTCAACAAGCAGTAGATGTCTTTTACAAAGATTATAAAGAGCATTCACAGACCAGTAACATGACATTCCAGTAGGAAAGTAGGCAAAGTATATGAGCAGAATAGGCAACTTGTGCATAATATTTAAAAAGATGTTCAACTTCAACCACAGAGGTATTTAAAGAAATGAAAACCAAAATAATAATGATTTTTTTTTAACCCATTACATTCAAGAATAGATCAGGGTTGGGGGAAAAGGAGTATATATTTGGTATACTTTTTAAAGAGGAATTTTGCAATTTTATTAAAAAGTCTTTGGAGAAGAAAGTACTGCCTAGTTGACCCAGCAATCTCATAGCTAAGTCTTTACTCTAAGGAAGTAATCAGACCAGTATGGAAAGATATAGGAACAGATATACTTACTAAAGCATTATCTTATTATAGTAAAAAAAAATCTAATATATATGAGAATGGTACAGATTTTTAAGGAAGTATTAATACCATGCAATGATTAAAAATGGTAACATGAACTCTGGCTTATTGATATGGAAAAAATAGTCATGGTGTTTGGTTAACTAAATAATAAGGCTATAAAGAATATGTAGAATATGATGATGCTAAGCTTACAATCAAAATATGTTCCAGAATGTTACAGTCACTGTACAGAGGTGGTGGAATTACAGATGATTTTTAATTTTTTTCTTAATTTTTTTAGTGCAAAAATATATATTTGGAAGAAATTAAGCACTTTATACAAAGGAATAAATCTGAAAGACATTAAAGAAATAATCCAATGGAGTTAATATTCAGATACAGGCTGAAAATGTAACATTTTTACTCTAGTTGTAACATTTCATTGTTTCAATACACAAAGTTGGATTTTATTTACCTATTAAGGTCTCTATTTTTCCTATCTCATTGGAAAATTGTCAGATTAATGTTTGCTTCTTCATAAAGCACGTTACACTTTGACCTGAGCCAAATTATTCTAATTTCTATTTAGACTTTTGATTATTTCTGTAATTTTGAAAATAAGTAGTCTGACTAAATTTTTAAAATTGTATCATTGCTTTTTTAAGTCACTTATTAGAAAGAGAATAACTGAGGTGGAAGGTTTATTTTTCCAATTTGTGAGGAAGCAGAAGAAATAAGAACAGATAACTGGTGACCAAACACAGAGGGGCAGAGGTTAGCAAGAATTTCTAATCTGACAGCCAATGTGTCCAAGGACAATTTAAGCATTAAACGGGACACTCTGCTCTTTCCATTCCTAGGTTCACTTCAATTAGCAGGGAAAAATGATAAATGGGGTGGGTATGCACATCTGTGCCTGTGCCTTTTGTGGGAGCCAGAAGCAAAGGCAGACTATGAAGAGAAAAATAGGCGGTGTGTGTTCAGATCTTTCAATGGGAAGAAACGACCTGGGACTTGCATTATTGTTCATGTTAATATTCTGGATGGGATCCTATTTAAAACATATCAGCTCAATATGAAATTTAGATTTATTCTGAGATCATGTATGTAACAGGAACTAAATGAGAATTATTGCTGGGGTTGAAGCAAAAATTGTATTACCCTCGAGGATGCCCTCGCAGCCTCTCATTTTTTTGTGTGTGTTTAAAAATAATAAAAGTAGTATGTGCTCATTACAAAATATTCAAATACAGAATAGAAATATATAAAAGAAGGCAAAGTTCCCACCCCACTGTTAACTCACCCTCCTCATCCCTTTAGCTTCTGTAGCAGTGGTTCTCAAAAGGTTGTCCATGAAGCTTAGAGGCTCCCACGGCCCTTTCAGGGCATATGCAAGTTGAAAACTTTTTATAACCATACCAAAATGTTATTTATTTTTTTACTCTCATTCTCTCACTAATGTATAGTGAAGTTTTTCAGAGGTTATATAATATAAGGACACCTCTCCATTTTCACACATGCAGATGTCTGGGCAATCAAACACACATACATTGCCTTTGGGTCCCCATTGCCTACCCCCCATAACACATACACACAGTAAGAAATGCAAAACTTGGAAAGAAACTTGACCTTCGCAGCGATGTAGGCAAGAAATAAAGGACTAACTCAGGAACTTAGCCATGTGAAAGAAACTAAATCACCTAATATTCAAATCAAGCCACAGACACAGAAATCAATTTAGGATATTTAAAGTATGAAAAAAATGAGTTTTGTCTCTGCAGAGACCTGGGGATACTTAGAGTGTAGTTGGGATTCTGTGGGTCAGAAAAGTTAGTGACAAAACAAACCAGGACAGAATCTGTAAAATACCTACTGCAGTACCTGTCACAGAGAACACAATATTAGTTGTTTTCTCCACTCAATTTTACAAAAGTTTGCATTAGGGAAGAAAAGTAAGAGGTTCACTCATTTCAAACTTTTTATAATACAGAGTTGGACACGACTTAGCGGCTGAACGAAACACTCCAACTTAGTGGATAATCCAAACCCCAAATTTTGTTGATTTTCCAAGGTACAGAGAATCATAAAAATGTTTATTAAGATAATTCTTAAATCATTCTATTTAACAATTCTTCATAGGGCCCTGGGGACCCCTTATTCTGGAGGGGCCAGACAATCTCTCTGAGGGCCACAGAGTGTCCTGCTTATCAAGGGACATCTGGGTACACACCTTATCAAAATAATCACAGATGCTCTTAAGTTCTTTTTTGGAAAGACTGTTTAAAGTCACGCTTTAAATTTCAGTCTTCTTCAACTATCACTAACTCAGTATATTTTACTGGAAAAGACATGATTTATAAAATTACCAACTGATATCTATTACTATAAATGTAACTAGCCCCCAAAATAAGCTATTTCATTTACCTTTCATAATGATAATAAAGAAGCCAAAAGCTCTTAAACAAATTTCTGCAGTATATTGTATATTTGTATATTATTTGAACCTATCATCTATCTTATAATAAAAAATTAATCGACTACCTTAAGAATTGGCTTCAAACTCGTGGTTTTTAAATAAAAGTCAAAAATATATCCCTGAAGTTACATAAGGACACACAATCACTCATTATTTTAATGAGATACCTAAGTACGTCAATGCTATGTTCTTAATATGGGCAGATATGAAGAAGACAGTTTTCAAATCTGTCATACTCAGTCTTGGACTCAAGTTCAAGTGTGTGCTACATGAAAGTAGGAACAAACTTATCTTCATCTTGGTATCCCACCCCCTTGACCTCTAGCACAAGGCCCTGCATACTGGAGCCAGGCAATCTCTAGAATTTTTTAGATCTCTTTTATTAAGTTGTAGAGAATGGTCTCTCAGCAATCATTAACACAAGATCAGGTATAAAACTCCCTTCTAGTTTCATTTTGGAATTATAAAAATCACAGATCCAATAAGAAAGAACTTTTGAAAACATTTTAAAATAAGGACTTAACTTTTAAAACGAAAACATCTGGTGAGTTAACATCTGGTGAATTAAGCTCTTGCTTATTAGATTTAAAGCTGTGACAGGTCAATGGAGAACACAAAAAAATGTATTAATAATGTGGCAACATCTTCAGTCACAAAAATTAAATCTTCACGTTTCCTTTAAGATCATACTTGGTTTTCTTCACAAGCTGCCTATTTTCATATTCTTTCATGGTGACTTGGAAACACATCCACCTACCCCCAAGGTGTTATACATATTATATAAGAAGGTTAAATAAAGGATTACATATATCTGTTCATTATTCTTTTAAAATCAAGTCTGCTTTCAAATACTAAAATTACAACTTAATTTCCAGGTTTTTTTTAAGACTTTTTTTCTAGAGCAGTCTTAGCTCCACAACAAAACTGAGAGGAAGGTATAGAGATCTCCATGTACCCTTGCCCCAAGCATGCATAGCCCTCCCCCATTATCAATCCCTCTGAACAGTGTGGTGCCATTTGTGACAAATGATGAACTTAGGTTCATTCCAGGTCAGTGTTTTAAGGAACTTAGAATATACGAGAAGGTGAAAGTACTCACCCATCCTTTGTTCTCCCAGCTCAGAGAAAACTGAGGCAGACTTAGCTTAAAACCAGGAGTTGAGCGCATATTTCACTGCCGCTCTTTCATTTGGTAAAAGTTAGTCCCCTGGGTAATACCCACTAACCTTAATACCTCCTGGGCAGCAAGCAGAAATCTGTTGACATGACTACAGTCTGGTTTACGTGGTATCAAAGATGTGGGTAAACAGACATACAAAGAGACATTTAATAACAGCTGAATGGTTTAGTCGCAACTCCTGCAGAGAGAAAGACGACTCTCAAAATGAAAGTCCACAGAACTGCTGAATGGGTCTCTTGGCTTGTCTGGCCTGTTGTGTAATTTCATTTTAGAGATGTAAAAGAGCTGCTGGAAAAATGGTAGGTTGTGGCTACCAATTTCTGTATAGACTCACTTTCCATACAAATTTAAAACAGTATTAAAGAGACCATTGCTCTCTGAATGTTAACTCTGTTGAAATTGCTCATCCAATGAGTTTTATCTAAGTTATAATATTTTTCTGTTCATGAATTATATAAACTATTTTCAAAGAAAAATATCCAAAATGATTTATAAACTTCAAAAGTATTTCCTTATTGAAGCTTCTGACGATTAGGCTTGTGTTTCTTCTAGTTCTTCTAATTTTGACATAGCAACACTATTCCAGTGATACTAGTAACCTTTATAGTGTTGATGATGATGACAGTAGTGATGGTTCATATTCAGTGCTTTCTATATCCCTGTCTCTTACACGGATTATTTCATTCCATCTTCATCAAAAGCCTTTAAATAATGGTTATTCAATTTATTTTATGGCTGATTGAACAGAGAGAGGCTCAGTGAGGTTAATGACACAGAGTAAGTATTAGAGTTGGAATGGAAATCAAGATTCTCCTCTGGACTCCAAGCTTTTAAATACTGACCTCTACTAAAGTCAAAGCTACTATTAGATGTCAAGATTGCTGGGACAAAGTGGAAGGAATGACAGATTTTATTTTCTTGGGTTCCAAAATCACTGTGGATGGTGGCTATAGCCATGAAATCAAGACACATATTCCTTAGAAGGAAAGCTACAACAAACCTAGGCGACACATTAGAAAGCTGGGACAACAGGGCTTCCCTGGTGGTCCAGGGGTTAAGAGCCCAGCTTGCACTGCAGGGGCCGGCGTTTCCTTCCTTGTTCTTGGAGGCCTTTTTTTGTGGTGGGGGGGTTAGGCCCTTTTGCCCCCTTCCTGGGCCGGGGTTCGGGGGGCTGCAGGCCCCACTTCTTGGGCCCCGTTGCCTTGCCCCCCAAGGCTTGCCCCCCTTGGGGCTTTTCCTTTTCATTAGGGCAGGCCCCCCCGTTGGGAGGCCTTGGCCCTTCACTTCCGGGTTGGCCCGGTTCCCCCCACTTGGGGAGGGCCGGCCTGCGGCACGGAGGTTCCGGCCGGGCCAAAACTTTTAAAAACAACCAAACATAAATAAATAATTGAAAAACAAAACAGAGACATCACTTGGCGGGCCAAGGTTCATACAGTCAAAGCTATGGTTTTTATAGCTGTCAGGTATGGATATGAGAGTTGGATCATAAAGAAGGCTGAGCGCTGAATAACTGATGCTTTCGAACTGTGGTGCTGGAGAAGACTCTTGAGAGTCCCTTGAACTGCAAGATCAAACCAGTCAATCCTAAAGGAAATTAACCTTGAATATTCATTGGAAGGACTGAATGTGAAGCTGAAGCTCCAATACTTAGGCCACCTGATGTAAAGAACTGACTCACTGGAAAAGATCCCAATGCTGGGAAAGATGGAAGGCAAAAGGAGAAGTGGGTAACAGAGAATGACGCAATTAGATAGTATCACCGACTCAATGGACATGAATTTGAGCAAACTCAGGGAGACAGTGGAGGACAGAGGAGTCTGGCATGCAGTCCATGAGGTCGCAAAGAATCGGACATGACTCAGCAACTGAACAACAGCAACAATACAATATTAGATGACAAAAAACTATAGCAATTTCAAGTAGTGTTTAACCTTAAGACTAACTGAACACATCCACCACAACCTTCCATGGAAACAGAGGGGCAGAAATGAGTAAAACAAGTTTACAGCATTCTTAAATAGGGTGCAACTAACTGTGAGGTTTGCTTGCAAGTTTCCAGAACTAACAGCAAGTCAACTAGCTCTACTTCAGGAATGCAGTGTCTGATGAAGAGAAAAGAACGTAGTTTTGCAGTCACATAGACAACCACACAAACCCGCATGCTGCTATTTACCATGTAAATAAAGAGGGCAAGTCATGAACCTCTCTCAGCCTCAGTGCTTTCTATCTCCAAAACGGAGAGGTTAAAGTCTACCTTAGAAGACACTGCAAGTCACTGAGTTGGCACCCAGTGTATGGACAGTTCTACCATACACTGGCACACAGCAAGCACGCCATAAATGGTGGCCAACAGCTCAAATTACAAATGATGTAAGAAATAATGTTTAGGAATCTTGTGCACTCTTATTTCCACAGAAAGATGTGTCCAAATACTCTCCAGGTGTACGACACCTGGGTGCCCTTTGGAAGCAAACAAGCCATACCTGACAAGGCCATTATGTTACCTGGTCAATCCAGCAACTGGAGTCAGCACCATCTCATGACCGGAGCACTGGAGCTTACTGAGAAAGCTGACAAAGTGAATGGAGACAGATGCCCTTGGATACTTGCCAGTGGGAAAGCAACAGCGGTGGATAGTGATGCACATTCCATATCCTGTGAATGCCTACAGCAAAAGAGGCTCATGGTCTTGCCTGCTGTCTTTTAATCATGTTCTTAAAGGGACTATTTTTATTATTTTTGGAATAGCATAAAATACCAAAATCACCAAAGCCAGAAGGCCATGACTGAAGAAACAGTTAATTCTACTACTTTCTCTATAGTAATAATTATCTTGCTCTCACTGAAAGACGGCAGAATTACATTAATAATAAATCTCCATATAAGCACCACTAAGATGAAATGAAAGTAGAAAACTCTAGACATAGTGGCTGGGAAAATTCCACACAGCACATATGGGAAACCCTGAGGGAAGAACCAACAGTCATCACATTCTTGACTCTGGCTGCATAGAAACACAAGCTTGTTAAGAGCCAACAGCTATGGCCCCACAGTGAAGTCGTCTGTTGTTGGAAACCCTGCATTGTACAAAACACAATCACGGCCCATTGAGTGGTCCATTTATAGCCAAGAGGAGTTCTGCAATCTTGACTATGAAGTGGTAAAAAGCGTATGAATAAAGAGTTCTTTCATTCCCATGGCTGCCTTTCAGGAACACGAGAACCAGAACTTACCTGTGGGCTTGCTCCCTGCCTGTACTCACAAACATGCAGCAAAACTACTGAAAACCCAGCAACTATGATCATACCTCATTACAGCACTTACAACTGAATGGCAAATAAAAGGGACAAATACGAAGCCATTTCAAGAGCAAAGGCTCTGGAACATGCAGAGTTAATAAGAGGCAGGAGAACAGTGCTGTATGACTAGAAAAGGACACAACGTCAAGTTAATTTGTACTTTTCTGTAAGGCTATTAAAATGACCCAGGACAGACAAAGGTTTTCCGTATGATAATCGCTCAAGATTCTGCTAACAATACAAGCAAAAAAAATCGTATAAACATTTTTACATGTATATTTAAGGCAGAGTTGGTTTGTTTTCATTACCCTTGTAAACTCGGAGCAGATAGATCTATGCTTTGCCTATATGTACTCATAAATATTTGCTGAAAGAATCAACAAATATTTTCTATAATAATATACAAGTGTCCAAGTTCCCACTTTCTGGAAAACATGCTTAAATTTCTATGAGATAAATATAGATAGTTAGAGGGCAAAGAGGGGCACAGGTTTTGCTCACAGCACCTCAAAAATGGTTTTAAAAACTTGCTTTAAGTGTCCCATCTGGTATATACTTCATATTCATTTAATTTTAAATCTTATGGAGTTAAGGCTTATAATTTTTTTTTTCCATTTATTTTTATTAGTTGGAGGCTAATTACTTTAAAGGCTTATAATTTTACAATTAAAATAGATGACATTTATACTGTATTTACTATATTCCATATACTGTTTTAAACATATATATGTTTTATGTACATATGCACATTAACCCATAAAATATAACCTTTAAAAATAAACATTTTTGACTATAGAAGCAATACATGTCCATTGCAGAAATTTGAGGGGAGGGGAAAAAAAGAAACTAAAACCACACACAACCAGCAATAAACTCTTCCAACATCCTGGTATATTTGCTTTCAGCTTTTTAAATGAACATACACTCTTGATTCTTAAAAACAAAATTGGAAATACACTATATTTTCAATTTAATACCTGGGTCTTTTTCATTTAACAATATGTAACTTTCTCAGAGCTTTAAACATTTTTAAAAGCATTTGTAACAGCTGTGCAATAGTCCACTGTATGGCTATGAGTCAGGTTATTAAATGAACTCCTTGTTGAATATTAGATTATTTTTAATTTTTTAATACCATAAACATACTTTGACAAACACCTCTGCACAGAAATCTTTACATGTATCTTTGGTTGTTTCCTTAGAATGCATTTCTTAGAAGCTGGGCTACCAGGTCCTATGGTTTGACTTTTTAAAAGACTTTAGATACATATTGCAAAATTTCCCTCCAGAAAAGCAGAATTAATTAATATGCCAAGTAGCNGGAGAGTTACTAAGACAGAGGGATGGTAATTTTTTCTATGTGTCCAACTTGAAAGTCAAATAAAGCAGTTTTGTAGATGTATGGTCCTTTGGGATGATGTTTTTACAGTCCTAGTGAAATACCTGAAATGTGTTCTATAGGAGCAATTGTGTCCCAGCCTGGGTGAACAACAACCTCCTGAGGAAGCTTCTGCAAACAACAGATTCCCAGATCTCATCAATGATCTACGAATGAGACTCTGCGGGGTTCATAACTGATCATAATGTGCTTCTCTCCATTTAACGTTATGCCTAAGAACCCAGCAGGCAGTATTCATCTTGGCTCTGACAGACGGACAGAGTTGCTTCTATAAACATGCTAACCCAAACCAGCCAGATGAA